TACCCAGTGGTGCTCTTGGCACCTGGGGTTGTCCCGGCTCTCCCGGCGGACGGGTTCATTTGTCTCCCTCTCCCTCCATTTGCCTGACGGATTCATTTGTCTCCCTTTGTCTCCCTTTATTTGGCCCCGGTTGTCTCCCAGCCTGGATGCCTGTCACGGCTCTCTGGGTGGACGGATTCGTTTGTCTCCCAGCTTGGATGTCTGGCACGGCTCTCCGGGCGGACGGGTTCATTTGTCTCCCTTTGTTCCTTCTTGTTGTCCCCCAGCCTGGATGCCTGGCACGGCTCCCTGGTCATTCGCGGTGTATTCCGCGGGCACGCATGTGTGTTTGAGGCTCAGAAACGTGTGTTTGAGCGCGCGCGTGCGCTTGATCAAGCCACAGGCAGCATGCTGCGGATGCACGTACGAGTGCTTCAAGTAAATGATTGTGTGTTCTTGGTGTGTTCCAGCTGACCACATCGGCGCGTTCCAAGTGAACACGCACTTTTTGCATGTGACCACATGAGTGTGTTCCACGTCAGCACATGTTTGTGTTCCAGGTGAAAGCATGCGATTGTTCTGATAAAACACATATGCGATCCGGTCAAAATTCCTAGTAAGGGGGTTTAGTCTACAGAGGCCACCGTCGCAGTCACTTTGTGCAGTTTTTCATTCACACAAAGCGGAGTCCTGCAAATACCAATGGATTGCCCGCTCCCCACTGGAGGCGCTAGGATGGCGCTTGGTTTGCGCTAGGGTCTTCGGTGATCTTGGTTTCCAAGAGTTGGCGCGTGGGTTGCCGCGATGGGCTTTGCGTGGCTTTCAAGGGTGTAATGTTGCAGTTCTTACTTAGTACTTGAAGCCAGCCCGCACGTTTACCTTCATCTTACGTGGCCTTAATTTGTCAAATCCACACAGATGGTCGCCGTGACTCCAAAAAATACGGCGAACCCGCGCTAGCCGCGCGCTAGCAAGGCGCTAGCGCAGTGGTCAGCTGTGACCGGTTCCCAGTTACGCTTCAATCCAAATTTGCTTCCGCTCTCCTCGCATGCAATTATCATGGAGTGCGATTTGCTGGACAAAGGGGAGAAACAACGGCTGAGGCAAGACGGCAGGGATGCCTTGTACCGAGCATACGGAAGAATTGGGTTGCGTATTTCCCTGCGAAAGCAAATGCTTTACTGAATCGATACGAAGAGTTGCCACAATACGATCAAAGCACTTTAGCAATCGATACGAAAGACACTGTGCAGCTAAGCGAGAAAGAAGCGCAATGCGCCGGAAAGCTTTTGCTAAGCTGAAGCCTGTAACTGCTGGAGACGCATCCGATACTGATAGTACTAGCAGTAGTAGCAGCAGCAGCAGCAGCAGCTCGCACGCTAGCAACATGTTGCAAAAAAGCTTGATTGATCGTACACGAACACTATTTTCCTACTTGGGACATGCATATAAAACACAAGCGTTGTTCAAGGCAGAGCCCCATGGAATAGCGCCTCACAGTTGGCTTCGGGAACTTGATTTGTCCATGCGAACACATTTTTGTTGCCCAGGTGAATGCATGTGTGTTGCACATTTGTGTTGCACATGTTTCTCCACATGTGCACACACGTGTGTTCCATGTGTACACATATGTGTGTTACAAGTCAACACAGAAGTTTGTTCTGGTTAAACATGCTTGTGTGATCCAGGTCTGCACCAGTGTCGCACGTGAACACAAATGCCTGTTCCAAGTGAGCGCATATATGGGTTCCAGGTGAACACATATGTGTGTTGCAGGTGAACAGAAATGTGCTTTCCAGACATACACACATATGTGTTCCAGGTGTACGCATGTGTGTGTGTGTGCGTGTTCCGGGCGCGCATATATATACATATATATGTGTGTGTGTGTGTTCGCGTGTGCACATATGTGTGTTCCACATGTACACATATGTGCGTTCACGTGCGCACATATGCGTGTTGCACGTGTACACATATGTGTGTTCACGTGTACACACATGTGTGTTCTTATCAGACACGTGTATGTGTTCCAGGAGAACACATGTTTGTTATCAGATGAACACGTGCGTGTGTGTCTGCTCCGCGTGCACTTTTTTTGTATGTGTGTTCACGTGCACACATTGTGTGTTCACGCGTGCGCACATGTGCGTTCCAACTGGACACGTGTTTGTGTTCCAGGAGGACACATGTTTGTTATCAGATGAACACGTGTGTGTGTGTCTGCTCCGCATGCGCATGTGTGTGTGTGTTCATTTGCACACATATGTGTGTTCCACGTGCACACATTTGTGTGTTCACGTGTCCACACATGTGTGTTCCAATTGGACACGTGTTTGTGTTCCAGGTGAACACATGTTTGTTTTCAGATGAACGCACGTGTGTGTGTGTGTTCCGGGTGCGCATATATATGTGTGTGTGTTCACGTGTACACATATGTGTGTTCACGTGTACACACGTCTGTGTTCCAATTAGACACACGGTTGTGTTCCAGGAGAACACGTGTTTGTTATCAGATGAACACTCGTGTGTGTCTGTGTTTTCCGCGCGCGCATAAATGTGTGTGTTCACATGTGCAGTACACATGTGTGTGTTCCACGTGTGCTGTGTTCACGTGTACACATATGTGTGTTCACGTGTACACACGTCTGTGTTCCAATTAGACACACGGTTGTGTTCCAGGAGAACACGTGTTTGTTATCAGATGAACACTCGTGTGTGTCTGTGTTTTCCGCGCGCGCATAAATGTGTGTGTTCACATGTGCAGTACACATGTGTGTGTTGCACGTGTGCACATGTGTGTGTTCACGTGTGCGCATTTGCGTCTCCCACGTGTACACATATGTGTGTTCACGTGTACACACATGTGTGTTCCAATGGACACGTGTTTGTGTTCCAGGTGAACACATGTTTGTTTTCAGATGAACACTCGTGTGTGTGTGTTCCGGGTGCGCGTATATATGTGTGTGTTCACGTGTACACATATGTGTGTTCACGTGTACACACGTCTGTGTTCCAATTAGACACACGGTTGTGTTCCAGGAGAACACATGTTTGTTATCAGATGAACACGTGCGTGTGTGTCTGCTCCGCGTGCACTTTTTTGTATGTGTGTTCACGGCACACATTGTGTGTTCGCGCGTGCACACATGTGCGTTCCAACTGGACACGTGTTTGTGTTCCAGGAGGACACATGTTTGTTATCAGATGAACGCGTGTGTGTGTGTGTGTCTGCTCCGCGTGCGCATGTATGTGTGTTCATTTGCACACATATGTGTGTTCCACATGTACACATTTGTGAGTTCATGTGTCCACACATGTTTGTTCCAATTGGACACGTGTTTGTGTTTCAGGTGAATACATGTTTGTTTTCAGATGAACGCACGTGTGTGTGTGTGTGTTCCGGGTGCGCATATATATGTGTGTGTTCACGTGTACACATATGTGTGTTCACGTGTACACACGGTTGTGTTCCAATTAGACACACGGTTGTGTTCCAGGAGACCACGTGTTTGTTATCAGATGAACACTCGTGTGTGTCTGTGTTTTCCGCGCGCGCATAAATGTGTGTGTTCACATGTGCAGTACACATGTGTGTGTTCCACGTGTGCACATGTGTGTGTGTTCACGTGTGCGCATTTGCGTCTCCCACGTGTACACATATGTGTGTTCACGTGTACACACATGCGTGTTCCAATTGGACACGTGTTTGTGTTCCAGGAGAACACATGGTTGTTATCAGATGAGCACACGGGTGTGTGTTCCGGGTGCACATATATGTGAGTGTTCACGTGTGCACATATGCGTGTTCACGTGTGCACATATGTGTGTTCCACGTGTACGCACATGTGTGTTCCAATTGGACACGTGTTTGTGTTCCAGGTGAACAGATGTGTGTTTCACGTGAACACATTAGTATGTGCTAGGTGAACACTGTTAGGACATACGTTTGGTGCTCTCCAGGTGTGCACATGTATGCGCTCCAGAAAACGCATGATTGTTTTCGAGGTGCGCGCATGTGTGTGCGATTTAGGTGAGCATTTATGTTTGCTCACGTGTGCGCATATGTGTGTTCCACATGTACACACATGTGTGCTTTAATCGCACACGCGGTGTTCCAGGTGGACACATGTTTGTGTTCCAGTGGTATACATATGTGTGTCCCACGCGTACACACATGTGTGCTTTAATTGCGCGTCTTTGTGTTCCAGGTGAACGCATGTGTGTTCCACGTGTACACACATGTGTGTCTGAATTGGACACGCGTTTCATTGTGTTCCAAGTGAACACACATGTGTGTTCCACGTGAACGCATTAGCGTGTCGTAAGTGAACACATATGTGCGTTCCACGTTTGCACATGTGTGTGTGTGCTTTCCAAGAAGCACATGTTTGTTTTCCAGCTCAACACATTTATGCGTGTGCCGCAGGTGAATGTATACTGTTTCAGTCGTATACGTATGTGTGTTCCACGTGTACACACATGTGTGTCTGAATTGGACATGTGTGTTTGAACTGCCCATGTGACTGCGTGCTTGCGCGGCCACACTTGCGTTCACGCGCGCGCGCTCGCCCGCCATCGCGCGCGCTTGCCCAACCTCAGTTCTGGCGCGGTGCTGAAGCGCGAAGCACGCCAGCAACACACGTGCAGCAACGCAACGCGCGCCAGGTTCACGACTGCATCATTTTGATTCATCCGTGTTGAAGCGCAGAAAGCCACAAGCTGTTGGCATGTTTGTGCTCGCCCGTCAGCCCTCAACTGTTTGGGGTCTCTGCTGGTGTAATTTTGGGGGGGAGGGCTCCCCTACTAAAATAAACAAAAAAGAAAAGAGTCGGACCCTTATTCGAACCTCTCTACTGGAGGACCTAGACGAGCATGATCTTTGTCCACGTCAGTTTTTCGCGCTTCGAGTCGAAAAGTGCCCCATAAGGGATGAAAGAGAGGGGCTGGGAAGCGACACCTGGCCCTCAGAGAGTCGACTGACACATTAGAGCTTGAAGATCTATAGGTGTTCTTTTTCCGGCCATACCCAAAAGTGACCTGGGACCCACGATCGCTGCACACGTGAGTTGCCAATGCTTTCTCCTTGACACTTCAGGCCGGACCGGGCGGAGCTAGTCGGGTCCCTTTTATTGCTTCAAGTTTTGTTCAGTTTTCCCTGTTGATTTTACGAGTCCACTACTGGAAATAGGCTTTAAAAACACATGTTTTTCCAAGGAACACCGCCAATGGTGGTTCTGAGTTTCCCAACGTCTGTCCACCAAAGGGGGGCCCTTATTCATACCCACTAGGGTCCCCCGGTGCCCTTCTCTCCCCTTTTTTGGTTGGGAGGGTTCCCTACTAAATAGACAAAAAGGAAAAAAGTTGGTACCCTGATTCCAACCTCTCTACTGGAGGACCTAGTACGCAGGTCTCAAGGAAACAGGTTGGCCGTCGGCAACGCGGGCAACGGCAGCCGCGCGAGAAACGGCCCTTCCCGCGAAGGATGCCGAGCGCGAGCTTGGTGAGGCGACTAGAGGACCAGGGAGTTCCACAAGAATTTCACTTGCGAGCTTTCCAGTTCTGTCTAATTTCTATTGAGTTAAAGGGTTTTTCGGGATTAATTACGCCCTCTGGGGACTCACCCTATTTTAGCCTACGTCCTGGTTATTTTGTTTTATTTGGGATTATTTTTGATAATTTTAGGACGTACTCCCGGCGTGAAATAGGAAAGTTCTTAGATTGAAGGAAGCCGCAAGATTGTTTGCTGGCAATTGCCAGATCTTCCTTTCTTTGTGTCGTTGAATTGAGGCAAGCCAACAACATGTTGGTCTTACGTGCCAGACTCTCTATTGCCCACGCGAATTGGGGGTGGGTGAAAATTATTGCTGGTTCTCAGCAGGGAATGAGTTGGAATGACCTTTGACATTCCCAGCACCCTGAATCATTCCCTACTAAGCAGCAGCAAGTATTTGGGAACCCGAGCGGAAGGTGAGATTGGCTGAGGACAGATTTGAGTTGGCCAAGGCGAATCCGCTTTGCTATGGCTCTTTGCCCAAAGCCAAGAATACTGGATCTGACCTTTTGGTTTTCCCATTGGCCAGTCGTTTCCAGGTCCCTAAGGGGCAACAGTTGCCAAAGGGGTTCTTTTTCCACCCAACTGAGTTCTTACATGTTTGTGCTGGTCGCTTGGACCACAAAAAAGCTAGATTAGTGTGGGGAGTTTCTCTACTCAACCCATGGTGCTTCACGGTGGGGTACTGCGCAATGTCCTGCTGGCTGATGATCATGAGAAGACGCCACGGTGTCTGGCAAGTGTGTGTTCAGGACCACCCAGCACAAGCTGCACACACACACAGCACAAGCTGCACACACACATAAGTGTGTCTTGCTTCAAGGGTAACCTAGAGAGATAGGTTAGATAGATGAGATAGACTAGATAGATTAGATATATGGGATAGGATAGGATTGATAATATATATATATATTATATATATATTATATGTATACATTGGCCAGACCAAAATTGCGCTTCTTGAAGGTCTGCGCGATTACAACCCTTTCCCCCTAGAACCCTTTCGGAAGAGACCTACGGGGGTGTGCGCGGTCAATTTTGGACCTGGGACGCCTTTTTTTCTTGTATTTTTCAACAGGGGGATAATTGACCGTCCCACGCCTGTCGCACAAACCGCACTTGTCAATTCGATCCGCGGCTGACCTGAAGGCGTCTTTTAAAAAAACAGGCAGGACGCATAAACTTTTGTCTGACTGAAGTATAGATAGAACAGATTAGATGAGATTGGATTAGATGAACATCCAGAGATGAACATCAGGTTGGATAGGTAGGCAGGTAGATAGATTTGTGAGATAGATAGATAGATAGGTAGAAAGGTAGATAGGTAGATAGGTAGATAGGTAGCTAGATAGGTGGGTAGGTTGTTAGGTAGCTAGATACATAGATAGTTTGATATGATAGGTGATAGGTAGATGGTGGGTAAGTTGTTAGGTAGCTAGATACATAGATAGTTTGATATGATGATATGATAGGTGATAGGTAGATAGGTGGGTAAGTTGTTAGGTAGCTAGATACATAGATAGTTTGATGCACAGGCGATAGATAGACAGGTATATAGATAGGCAAATGTAAAGGTAGAAATAAGAGCAAGGCAAAGAAGACAAACAAAGAACCGACAAAGAGAGACACAAATAAACATAAGAAGAAGTGAAGTGAAACAGCCAAAGACACAGATTCCTTTCTCCCCTACCCGGTCACTGCAAAAGTCGCACCCACAAAGACAGTTCTCAAAAAATGTGATAAGGGACGCCCTCCCCAAAAGTAATTTGATGACCCCGCGAAACATGGTGATTCCCTTGTTGGCGTGACAAAATCGCCATAAATCGTCTCAAAACGACCTTTTGGATGCAAATGGCTTTTCCGTCAGCCCTACTTAAAGGGCGATCGGGTACTCAGTGAGTGGTTAGAAAGTCCTGATTACAGCCCACTGAATACTGAACAGAGACTTATAACCCTGGTAAGTACACTTTTCACCAAGCAAAAACTAACCACTTACTAACTACCCCATCGCCCCTCTACCAAAGGCGAGACCGACTTTTTCCTCGTTTAGAGCAACCCATGGCCACGTGTCCAGGAGCCCGACATCGAGGTGGTGAGCTGCCACGCGTTTTGCTCAGAACAGGCAAAGGTCAATCCGGAGAAAAAAGTTCGAAACCGTGATGTCCAATTCGAAGATTTTGGGCCCCAAGACTCACCTAAGCATCTAAACTAGGTCCCCCAGTTAGGCGCCCTTCTCTCGCCTTTTTTGGTTGAGAGGAACCCCTACTAAAATAGACAGAAAGGAAAAAGGGTACCCTTATTCTAACCTCTCAAATCTGGAGAACCTAGAACAAATATACGGGTGCGTTTTTTTGAGGGGACCCCTGCCACAATGGTGGTGTTCTGTGGTGTCCCTTTCAAAACGACACGGAGAAGGGGTACCTCCAATTGAAGACACACCCATGCCTGAAAATGAGGTCTTTGTGGGGCCACAATCCCTTTTTAACAAGGACATTCCTGTGAATCAGGAGTTTGTGAATGCGTAGGCGTGGGAACTTGGAGCGAGTACAACAGTTTCTCATGGGGAACTTGGCGCTACAAGTACCAACATTGCTCATTCGGGGGCATGTTGCGAAGCTCTCTCCGACAAAGATATGGCTAGGTCCCCCAGTAGTGCCCTTTCTCTCCCCTTTTTTGGGGGAGGGTTCCCCTACTAAAATAGACTATACAGAAAAAAAGTTGGTACCCTTATTCTAACCTCTCTACTGGAGGACCTAGATGGGGTTCAAGTTGACACAATGGTGACAACGGACCGTGTTGTTTTCCACCAAGCGTCACGTCTCTTTGTTTCTGGCTCAGGCGCTGTCAGCGGACGAGCAGCTTTTGGCCCTTTGCCCCGAGCTCGGGCTATCGGCAACTTGCCCTACTTGGATCCGAGTAGCCACTTGGGGTATAACCCCGGGATAACAAGGTCAACCCCACTTAGGTGGGTTATAACCTGGTTACCAGCAACTTGCAAACTTGGTCGAACACCCAAGTAGTTCAGCACAAATGCCGGTTGCAGAAGGGCAAGCGCTCCCCCAGATTCACTCAGCGGATCTCCAAATGTAGGTTGGTGAAAGAAGGCAAGGACGATGCAGACCTCTTATGTCTTTGTTTTCGCTTTGCAGTGCATGACATGCGTGCGTGCCAGCGAGTAAGTTGTCCATGGGCTGTCTGAAAATTTGCTTTCGGCGGCGTGAGGTGCAAGCCCGGCGGTTCCGAGTTGCTCAAGAGCTCCAGGATTTCTTCAAATCGGTACTAGGTCCCCCCAGCTAGGTGCCCTTTACCATTTTTGGGGAGGGGGAACCCCCTACTAAAATAGACTACAGAAGAAAGTTGGTGCCCTTTTTCTAACCTCTCTACTGGAGGACCTAGGGGAGTCAACTGTTGAACCTGCAACGACTTCTCCAGTCGTTTGCCCATCAAAACACCGAAACGCTCGGAAAATCGGGTATGATCCCATCGACACAAGTTCGCAGAGTTGAGGGCCCAGCAGTGGGTCATGATCCCACCGGAACAAGTTCGCAGAGTTGAGGTGGACATGCCAACGCGGAGAAAACAACATCTCGTGCCATAAACTATCTTTGCAGCATGAAACCAGGTTCATATTCACCACGGCATTTGGGCGGCTTGGCATGTTAATTGACCCAGTTGCCCAGTGGATTCCGCCCTTTTTTCAACTTTTCTCCGGGCAGGGTTCCGCTTGCTGGAAAGTCAACCTGCCAAAAAAGGATGCCGATTATTTTTTCCCATGGAAATCGACTGGGCATCTGAGGTCCCAACTCAGAGGACATTGTCATCTTCCGACTGGTATCTGAGAAGGACCCGGGAGCTGGAACCATGGGTCGGAGGTGTCGTCGTTGGTTTTTGCCTCTACCTAGAGTCTCCATGACCAGTCTCCATGACCCTTTAAGAATGGGGTCGTTACCCTAAATAATGGGGTGGACCTATTTTTTAAGGGTCATGGAGACTGAAGGTACAGCCCCAAGAAGGTTCCCCCCCGAAAAAGCCACACTGGCGGACAAGGCAACTGTTCAGGTGACGATCTGGGGCGCTCTTGGGGGCACTTGCAGTGTGGGCTTGCGGGAGGCTTTTGGGTTTCTCGGCGGTTCCCCGCCGCCCGTAGATTTGTTTAGCTTCTTTGGGGGATGTCAATTTAACCCACTAAAAGCCCTCATGTTTTTGCTTTTTGGGGTTGAGTGGTTGGGTTTCCGAATTTAACCCACGAAAAGTTTCACTTTTAGCAGGGGATCTGAGGACAGCCCAGGTTTCGATGCTTAATTGTTATTTGGACATAACGACGACAACGACGGCACATTCCGGGCACCGGGTGCCTCGTCACGCATGATGAGGGTTTCTTTCACAGGGATCCCTCATGTCCGGTTGAATTAGAATGTTTTGTGCAGATGATTGTAATGATTATCGTTCTCAGCAAAGAATCGTATGAATCTCCCGAACAAGGACTTGTGCCAAAGGCACACTTGCACCAATCGCAGTGATCAAGTATGATTGTTCATCCCTATCCGGAAATCAGTTACGTATTCTTACCTCTTAAAAACACAACTTTTCAACTTTTTGGGTAACATGGGCTATATGTCTGCAAAAGATTAACTTCCCAAGGGCTTGGAGTTTTGAGGGGTAAGCACGTATTGGAGTGATTTGGGGTGAATTACTGAGCTGCTTTGCTTTTCCGACTTTGCCTGCTTCGCGACTTGTCACTCTGCCCCTTGCTCCGGTTCCAGGAACTGCGCAGTTGACGCCATCCATAGGAATCCATGATCTCGGAATGGATACTTGGATGTTCGATTCGCGTTGGTAAGTGGCTAACCACTTGGGGTTTTTCACCCCCTTGCGTTGCAAGATCGATCCCACTTAGGGGGACGCGAGTTAGAATCTGGGTTACCAATTGGTGGCGAGCCAATTTTGGGGTGGATGAACATCCACTTGCCACCTATTTTTTGTCACCAGTACAGGGTTTATCGATGCATGTGGGCCAGGGGTACAGGGTTTTGGGCCACAAGCCCTCGCGGTCAAATCGATCAGTTAATCCTTTTCGCGGTCTTCGCGGCAGTACCAGCGTGTGGCAGTGCTTTCCAAGCACTCTCAAAGAGTTTCAGGCGTGGCATCCGGGGGAAGCGAAGGGGCGAGAACTTAATTGCAGTATGTGAGACCAACCTGTGGCGGGCGAAAAAGCCGGCTGTTTAGTCAACTCTCAACCATAATTTGTTGGGCATGTCTTAAATTAGGGGAACCCCACAAGAGTAAAACATGTCCCTCCCAAACCCACCCAAAGAAGCGTACCCATGCGACAAACATGTTCCTGGGACATTTGTGGGAAAGCTCAGCAAGCTTGGTCGCTTTTTCCACGCATTGATGCGTTCCCTTTCCGACTCCAGTCGTTTCTTGGTGTTTCCTGGCACCCTGATGTTCTTCCATCGAATTCGTGACACGTAGACACACACACACACCACACACACACACACACCACACACACACACACACACATAACCTACCGGTCAACTTTGCTGGTCTCAGTACTGCAAAGACAAGCCATTCAAAGTGTTGACGCTTCGTGAAAAAGGGCGGCGCTCAATGCCTCGATGCTGACTCGAAGTCGAAGTCTCGCCATGGTGTGCATGGTAAGAGCGCCAAACCGCATGTGTGTTTGCAGAGGCTTGCCGAAGCTGTTTGCCAACCAATGTTAACCCCGGATTAATAAACCCCTGGTTGATTAATAGGGGGGTGTCCCCTTTTAGTGGGGATTCAGATCACTTTTGGGGGGAACACCCCCTAAGAATGGGACGGGTTCTACTTAGATCCTGGGTCAACATTAAGACACACTTCCCGCCTTGACACGTGCTGAGCTTAAGTGGTTTTCGCCGAACCCGCCTTCGTCCGGATTGCAAGGCAGCAATTGCATTGGGATGTATGTCAGTGCCAGCAAGAATCACCAGGCGCCCAGTGGCGTTGTTTTCATGTAGCATAATATATATATATGTTGTATAAGAGAAAAAGTGTGTGTGTGTGTGTCATGGTCTGTTTGCTTGGGGGCATGCCTGGTCGCTTCAGAAATCTTTGGCTTTGCACTCATCTCGATAAAACAGGCACTGCCGGCCCCCCCCCCCCGCTCTTTGGACGGCGCTTGGGCGTTGGGCGTGGTAAAGTCAGTCCAACTTCGGGGATCGCCAAACCTTCCAGTTGCAAAGAAATGTTTTTGGATGTTCCCCTGTGGGTTTCAAAGGGAATCGATCTCGCTATTGGACACATCTTCTCTTTTTTCCAGGGGGCGAAAAAGCAAAAGGAAGTGAATTTCCTTTTTTTCCCGTTAATTCCCCTTATTTCCCGTTCATTCCCCTTTCCCTTGGGCTTTTGGAAAATTGGGCTTTGCTTCCCTTGACCCTACCATTTTGGAGCTGACTTTGGCCTTCACGTTTCGGAGGCCCGGCGCGGGGTCCGGGTGTTCGGTTCGATGCTTTTAGGCCTCGACTGGTCTTGCCACGGCCGGCTGCTCTCCGTCTCCGAGGACGTCGGATCGAAACGGAACGTCTACCATTTGTATAAAGGGAATCTATCACTGGTTTTAAAGGGAATCTGGTTTTAGAGGGAATCTTCTTCTTCCATATGTGTTTTTATGTTCCCCTGGTTTTAAAGGGAATCTATCACTACCGGACATTATGTTTATTTATGTTGGCCAGACATCAGGTGGCCATACGTGGGTGTGCTTGTTGCTTGAGGTATCCCTTTTTAGGTTTACAATAAAACAAAAGGAAGCACACCAAAGGAAAATCCTGGAACCCTTCCATTTGCAGAAAACCTCCAGCATCCCAGGGAAAACAGCCATCAGTTTTTGAAAAGAACGATGGTTGAGAAGAATGGTTGGAATCAAGCCCTAGAATGGGTCTGTCTTCTTTTTGGGGCGTACTCTTTGTCGGTTTTAAAGGGGAAAACAAAGGGGAAATAACCAAACAGAAGCCACATAATTTGGAGCTGTTCCGTAAAAGAAGCTAGACCGAAATGTTTTTGTTTTTGCTTTTTTGGGCACGGACTGGAAGGCTGCAAAATTCACAGAAGGATACAATGAGGTCGTCCATAGTGTGTCTTAAACCAGGGGTCCCAAAACTGGATTTTTGGGGGTGATGACGGCTGCGTTTTTTTGTTTCAGCCAAAGGAATTTTGTCGAAAGTGAGGTAGAAAAGTCATACTGTAGTACCGTTGTGGGATCAAGGGGTTTCTCCCCACTTCTGTGATACAAGGGAATTCCCGTTTATATGAAGAAAATAGTCTTTAGGAAGCCCTTTCTGTTGTATCACAGAAGTGGTCATTCCCCACACCCCTGTAGTATCGCAGAAAGGCTGAATGTTCCACAACCATGCCCATGGAGCCTCCAGCTTTTTGTTCTTCGGGAAATTCATGGACCCCAGAGCCCGGGTGGATCAAGAGATCTTCGAGAGAGATATTTGGCATGGCGGTGAAAATGAATTTGTCCTTCTTGGGTGCTCGGACAAGTTAGCACGTGCTTGATATCCTAGGCGACCAATTTGCAGCCAACTGCACTCTTGGGGACGAATAAGCAGGTTGTGACCCAGGTTACTAACGGCTTTCTAACTTGCCAAATCAAACCTATACCACCCAAAACCAAGTTGATTTGGTTGATTCCATTTACCAATTTATAAATTTACAAATTTACCAAATCAAGTTGATTCCTTTTACCGAGCCGGGTGTTTTCTCTCGGCTCCAAGCCGAGGCACCCATGTCCAGTTGGTGAAACCTGGGTATACCCTGACCCGCATGGATCCGGGGAAACCCGAGCCGATGGAAACGCCCCAAAGTTGATCAACTTTTGATTTGGGGAAAGCCGGTGACCCCTGTCATTGTGGATTTCTAGGGCTTGAATTCAGAAACTGGGGTCGTTTCCCTTGAACCTACTTGCGGGTGACTTTGATCACTTTGAGGAAAGTTCTAAAGAAGGCTCGCAGTGATCACCGAACGGTGTGACGACTGCGGCCTGCTAGCGCCAACTGCTGCCATTCATTCCCATACTGTGGCTGACAAAATTCATTTCGCATCGCCTAAGGAACCCTGGAAATGATATGATTCCCGTGGCAATTTGCAAACAGACAATGGTTTCCCATGGTTTCAAAGTGTTGTAGGTTGTTTGTCCATCAGTATATATATATATATAATAGTGTTTTTTTTAAGCACGCTGGGGACTGCACGGGAAACGTGTACAGAACACTGGCCAACAAGTGACATATGAGTTTCTCGACGCTTCTTTCAGTCTCAACTACATTGATTGAGTTCTTCCTTCCTTTGCTTAAGAATATATATATATATATATATATTGTTTTATTACTATTATTATTTTCCCCTGTTGGTTTTAACAGGAATCGATCACTACTGGATTTATTTTCCAGGGGTCTTAAGCAAATGGAAGCTTCTGGTCATGATAGCAGTTGCTCCTTTTCTTCAGCGAACGATTGCATTGGACGGCTGCGCCAGTCTGGCTCCATCGCGTTGCGTTCACACGGGCCGAAAGACCAGCGGCTTTGGCAAAGCTCATTTGACAGTGGTTGTCAAAACCAAAGCGGAGACGTTGATATAGCTGTGGTGGTCAAAACCGTTTTGGGATCGCATTTTGGTTGGTAGGTGAATGCACCACCCATGTTATTCTATTTTAGTGGGGATTGGTGGATGTTCACTGGGGGCTAACCGATTTGGCTTTTGACCCATGGTCAATTGAAGAAATGGATTCTGGGTCCCTTCCAACAGCCTGGCGCCGAGCAGTATTCCATCCTCACTTGCCCGCGATTTTGAGGGGATCTGACCTTTTCGTGTGCGTTTGGTGCATTTTGTGTCATGGCGCCCAAACGGCGATCGCCTTTTCTTGGCTGCCATCCGGTTCCTTAGCCTTTTAGCCTTTTCGTGTTTAGTGGCAGTTTCCTTTGAGTGGGTTAAACTTTTAGCGGGGGATCTGACAACCCAGTTTTATGTTTGGGTCCTGTGGGCAAACTGAGAAACTATTGAGGTGTTTCTAAGTATGTGACGTGGTGTCGTTTTCCGCTTTGCTTGTCTGAATGTGCAGAGCCATGTAAGGTGCATGAAGAATAGCTTTCCTTTGCTGGCAACGGTCGGCCTCTTGGGAATATGCCAGTTGCCATCGTGTACTAACCACAGGTGAAACAGATGGAAGCACCAGAAGCAGGGAGATGACATGCACTGGAAGGACTTTTTGCACATGTGGCTTCTTCCTTCCTCACACAACCACACACACACACACACAACGCCCATGCGCACACCCCACACCCCACACCCCACACTCCACACCCCACACCCCCACCCCACACTCCACACCCCACACTCCACACCCCACACCCCACACCCACACCCCACACCCCACACCCACACCGCACACCCCACACCCCGCACCACACACAAACACACACACAAGAAAAACAACACACACAGAGGGTGAAGTGAATTCTCACAACTTTCGGATTTGTCTAGTTTGCGGCTCCGTCTCCGCCGTGCCATGCAGGATCGCACGGCTTTCGTTTGGGAACAAGATAGCCAGGGTACGTGGAGGCGACCTTGCGTTCGACATCGGGGCTCGGGGCAGGCCATAGCCATCCAACTGACTTTCCAGGTGCCCCAGCTAGGTGCCCTTTCTAGAAAAAAGTTGGTACCCTTATTCTAACCTCTCAAATCTGGAGGACCTAGCTTTTGAGACGCAAAATGGTACAGCGGAATTCTAAATCGCCGTTCTTATCACGGCTATGTTGGCTGCACCAGATGGTGTGTTCCCAGATCCCAGTTCCCCGTCGGTTTTTTGATGGAGGCACTTGCCGAAAAGAAGCTTCGAAGCTAGCCACCTAGAGGAAGGCTTCGGAGCCTTCCGAGACCCAAGGAGGTCATGGGAATCTGAGGGCAACTCTGCCAGCAACCTGGGGATCTGCCAGCAATCTGGGGAACTCTGCCAGCAAGTTCATGGGATGAATAATGCTGATCTTGCGCAACGTCAGAGAGCGCTTGCGCGCTGTTGCGTGTCAAACTGTGTTTGCCGCCTCCAAACTGTTGGATGGCTATGTGTGCTTCTTTTCAGGATCTGCCAAGGGACAAGCTGACCCGCCCTCCACTTGCTCAATCCGTCACTTGGTGTTGCCAGAAAAGGGCCCGCTTGGACCTGCGCACAGATCTCGGAGATGCAGAGATGAATGGATCGTTCTCTCTACAGCTCTAGGAATACCTTCCATGTCCATTCTTTCCAGGGATCCTTCTTTTCAGGAAACCATCAAAACCCACTTGAGAATAACGATGGTTGAAAATAATGGTTGGAATCAACTGTTAGAATAGCTATATGTACGCATGGCACAACGTGAAAATGGGATTGCTCACGTCACAGAAAATCTTAAAGCACCGCAAGCTTGCACCAGGTCTTCGAATGTGGAGTTGAAGGCTCCTCGTGCCAGCCCCAGTTAGACGAGACGACTTGATCCAAAACCCACTTATTGACCAACACCCAGGAAACGAAGGTGCCCAATCCAGTATTGGTGTTCTTTTTGCTTACATGCTGGACCCCCCTTCTGGAATATGCATGGTTTCAAAGGCAAACCAATCAGACATCAACCATGTGTTTGCTTTACAGTTCCCTCTCATGTTTAAAAGTGTTAACTTTTTTTCCGGGTTCCCCCGCTTTTACATGGCTTGTGTCTGGTGCGACCGAATCGCCCCTGGAACGACCTTTTCTAGGTCCTCCAGTAGTGTCCTTTTACCCTTTTTTCGGGGAGGGTTCCCCTACTAAAACAGACTACCGACACAAGGGTTCCCTCAGTCTAACCTCTCTACTGGAGGACCTAGCAAGGTTTAATCTGGATAACTCCAGCCTTTACCATTCTCCCTTCTCCATTTTTGGTTTTGAAACCAAATGGAAAGGTGAGACCAACCTTGTCTCTCAAAGGGGCTTGGAGCAGCCCTTGAAGCAGTTCTAGGTCTGATTCCCTGCTTGCTTGCTTGCTTGCTTGCTTGCTTGCTTGCTTGCTTGCTTGCTTGCTTGCTTGCTTGCTTGCTTGCTTGCTTGCTTGCTTGCTTGCTTGCTTGCTTGCTTGCTTGCTTGCTTGCTTGCTTGGCTTTGGTTGCTTTGTTGCTGTGTTGGTTAAGTTTGCTTTGTCTTGTTTGTGTTGTTGGTCTTGTGTTTGTCTCTGTTTGCTTGCTTGTTTGCTCGTTCGTTCGTTCGTTTCTGTGGTTCCTCGTCTTTGATCTTTGCAGGCCGCCCGGCCTCCGCACAGGCGCGGCCCTGTGCGCCGCCTGGGCCCCGGACGGCGAGCGCTTCGCCGTGGGCCGCGGGCTTAGGGCCTGAAGCTAGCGGCGCAGCCGGCGCAGCCGCATGGCCGGAGGGCCTCATGGGTCAGGAAGGTGTGTCCCGAAAGCAGCTTCCATTTGCTTGACCATGTTTTTTCTTGGGTATTATTATTATTATCTTCCCCTGTTGGCTAAAAAAGGGGAATCTGTGACTACTGGACATATTTTTACTTTTTCCAGGGGGCTTAAATAAAAGGCAGGGTATCCTTTTGAAGGAGTTTAAGGGGAAGGCTTATTTAACTCACTTCCGAAGCCAAGGTAGATGCCCAGTCGACAATCTGACGTCCTGAGTGGCTGAACTTTATCCAGGTCTCCCAGCTAGGTGCCCTTCTCTACCAACTTTTTTGGTTGGGAGGGGGAAGCCCCTACTGAAATGGACAAAACAGGAAAAAGTTGGTACCCTTATTCTAAGGGATCCATTTCTCAGTTCCTAAGTTCCGGGGCTGTCACTTGGGTTTGGACCGATTTCGTGGCAAACAAGTTTGGTCCTCTTTTTTCGGGCCATCCGCGAATAAAAAGAATAGGCTCTGCCCAAAGCGAATCGACCTTTTTACCTTTACTCCTTCATCCGAGAAAGGCTTGAGTCATTTTTCCTTGGCACAGAGCTTAAGCTCAGGGACTTGTCTGTTGCATTGGCTTGGTGTTGCTTGGATGTTAGGATTTTAGCTTTTTGCCAACTACTGGGTTTTCCAATTAACCCACTAAACGTTAGTCACTTCTAGGGGAGCAGACTTCGCAACCGAGTTTCGTTGGAAGCCAAATGGTCCGAAACGTCACCACGCCGAGCCACACCGAGCCACACCGAGCCACGGGACCGCGGATCGAGGCTTGTCCTCCAAAGATACTGCGCTCTGTCACTGGGAGCCCGAGGTGCGAAATGTCCCATGTGAAGGGTCCGGTGCGTGTGGTGCGAATGGGAACCCAAGAGGACACCCGAAAAAAAGAAGTGCAGGGCCTTCCCCAAAAAACACAGCCTCTGGTTTAGCGTCTCATGTGAAGGATCCGGTGCCGAAGTCTTTGAAGGGTTCCAAGATGCCTGGTGGCCCGTTTAAAAACCCACAAGGAAAAGGGTACCCTCAAAAGAACGTTGCTGTTCTTATAGTTTTGTTTCTTTTAGTTGCAAGGTTCTGCTCATTTTTACTAGGGGCTACAAAAACAGTCAGTCTGTTGCTACCATACTAAGGGTTGTAAAGCACACACGAGGCCAACAAAAAGGACACACCCAGTGGTTTAGCGGCACTCCAGGCTGTTCCAATTCTGATTTGTTCAGCTGTTTCGTTGGTTTCCCCATTTTGTTCATCCACCTACCAATTATAGTTGCTATTGTTCCCATCAGTTAGTTTCAATTTGATGTTGTCCACTGCCCATTGGCCCCTTTGTTGTTTCAGTTGTTCTGACTATTTAAGGATATGTCGCTAAAGGAAAGGTTCCTTTGTGTAGTCCTGTCTTCGCATTTGCAACTGCAGAACAGTTTAGGGCAGATCGGTGAACCATTTGGCAATCATTAAGGTTATTGTGGGCATGGCAGACAAGCATCATGAGGCCCACCCAGATGAACAGCTTTTGACCTGCAGCAGACATGGGAGTTTCTCAAAATGGTGGAGCCAGGTGTTGATTGACATTTAAAGGGGAACGGTCACAAAAAAACTTGTTTTTTTGAGGAACCCTATTTTGAGAAACATCCATGAATTCAACAACAGGAAACATCGATCCATGTAGAAGGGTCCCTGGATGTAGCACATTTCAGAACAAATGGTCTAGTGGAAGGGGTTACTTTGACATGCAGCTAGAAATGAGTCTTGGTCTTCAAATATGGGATGTCTCAGGAGTTCAGAAAAGAAACACTATGAAGACTCCTGCTACTGTTTTAATCATGTGTACTAGAGTAGATCTCGATCTAGGTTTGAATACATTAGCCACGAAAGCCACATGAGAAAGGAGGAACGACCACGCCGGCGTAGCAAGAGGACAGGAATTGCGGACTACACTGGAGCTCCAAACCAGCAATCCAAGCCATGAAGTAGGGGAAGCTGAGATACCATCCAAAGCAAATTCAAAGCCTGCAATTGTTTCGATTGTTCGAAGTAAAGTATTTTATGTCGACCCCAGAAAATAAACCCCGGTGTATTTCGTGGGGATTCAGACCACCTGTGGAGAGGCTTGCCCCCACCCCCGCATGTAATCCAGGGTCAGCATTACTATTGGTTTCGATCTTCATAGATGACCAGGCATGTTTGATTGGTCTTAGGTGGCAATCCAATGCTCGTTTCTTTGCCTCCCCAGCAAACACCGTTGAAACTTCTCACATTTCTCACTTCCTGAGTTCATTGGACTTTAGCCGCTTTTTTGGATTTGGACCATTTTAGTGGTAAACAACAAGTGGCAAACAAAAAGTCTAAAGACTTTTTTGGCTATTCCACTCGATCGGGTGTGAGAGACAAGAACAACACAGGGCGATGTTTTTTACCGCATTACAGAAGCAGTTTGGTTGCTTTGAAAAAACCACATAGTAAGTGAAGATTCGATTTCAAAATTTCATTGGTGGTTCCCAGCCGTCCGGTTCCTTAGCTTTTCGCCTTTTCGCGTTCAGTGTTAGGTTTCCTTATTTACACTAACTTCCCAGCCATCTCCTTGGTTGTTTCGCCTAGTGTTTAGTGTGGGGTTTCTGAAGTTCACAAGTTCGTCACTAGCCGGAGATCAGAAAACGGACCGCCCGCCATCAAGAGCCATCTCGACAGGTGAGCTGCTGGGTCGCCTGGAAGGTGGGCAAGAGCAAGGCGGCCATCACCGCGCCTCGGAGAACAACCAATTTGTCCGCCGCAAAACGCCGGGGGACGCTTCTCGAGGGGCGTGCTGTTTCTTTTTCAACACCCGGCGGTTTTTTTGGGGGTTCCAGGGGTTGGTTGGGTTTTGGGGGAATTGGAGAGGGAGAGGGAGGGATTGAGAGAAGCGGAAGTGCAGAGAAAGAGAAAGAGAAAGGGGAGAGAAAGGACAATGAATGAGGAAACTTAAAAGAAATATCAGAAAGAGAGAGAGAGAGAGAGAAAGCGAGAGAGATCATCAGAGAAAGAGATAACTCGCTTGCTGATAGTTGTTATTGTACCATTCGGTACCATTTGTAAAAGGCAAGTGGACACGGAACAACACATTCGCGTGGCCTCGCAAGCGTTCCTGTGCTCTTGATTGCTTTGCCCGCGAGTTTTTGCTGTTTCTGTTGCAGGCCAAGAAATGGTCCGGCCTGCTTTTGTCAGATTCCCCATATTTTCTGTGCAATTGCTGTGGGTTTTGTCCTTTCGAATCCAAGCCCCCAAGGCCCAATGAGGGAAGCTGCAAGAAGGTTTGGGTCCCGCAAGGGTCACCGAAAGCAAGGGACTGGGACCCGTTAATCGGTTCTGGGTCCGCGTTTACCATCTTGCATCTTTGCAACGAGGATTCATATCCTTGGCCTAGAGTTGAAAACTTCACCCGGAACCGCCAAGCACAAAAACGTTTTTTTGGGCAAGGTTTAGTGGCCACGGGTCCCGCATTGTGGCCGGAATAGGACAATGGAAAAAGGGAGCTAAGACATTGGTTCTCCTCATTTAGAGGCTGGTTTACCGCTTGACCCCATTTGGGGGAGAACAAGTCTTGCTGTGAACAGGACCTGTTTGAAAGGAGAGCCTTACAATTCCCAAAAAAACACGAGGTATTCTGCTCATGTTGTTTAGATCATTTGCTCTTTCGGAAATAGCTTTGCACGTCAGGTGTTGTGATCACGTTGCATAAGTTGCTAGGGCTGCCCTTTGTCAACGGTCCCGAAACTGGCAGAAAAACATCCCAGGAACATGCACAAAGACCTGGGCGTTTCTTTTGGTGGCCCATCATGGCTGATGTTGTTTGGCTTAGGGTGGCGTTGTATTGCTGTGTTCGAGATTAAGCCACTATGAGGAAGATTGCATTTGTAAGACTACGGTATGGGTGTATGCTTCTTTGAGGTGGCCGCTTTTCGGTGCTTTTAATGAAAAGCCAAAGGGATATATACTTTGGAATCCACCTAGCGTTACTTGCCGGCGCTCCACAAGAATGGAGTAGGGTTTTACTGCCCTACAACTTGACTTGCTATTGGGTTGGATCTTTAGACTTTAACTTTTTGGTTGAAATCAAGGGGTTTCCCACTAAACCCACAAACAGTTAAACTTTTTGCAGGGGGTCAACAGCAACTAAGAAAATAATTCTGAAATGATAGTTTGCCTACCCCAAAGTGGGCTTCTCTTCCCTGGAAGTACACACATCACGATGGGCAAATTTCTCACTTGGCTTCCGGGGGCTGAGTTGTGATGCAGGCATCTCAGAACGTCCATTCTGAAAAAAACATGGGAGATGAATATTTGAGGTAATCCAATGTGTCGAATGGACCCAAGTGGTGTCCCATTGTTTTCCCGTTGGCACCGTGGGCCTCAAACAAGATGCCTTGCCGCACCATGTCCAGAGGTCCCCAACCACAACCCATGGTGAATTCATAGAGTGCCAGCTTATTCCAGGTCTCCTAGCAATGCCCTTTCACCCTTTTTGGGGGAGGGTTCCCCTACTAAAATAGACCACAGAAAGAAACATCGGGTACCCCTAATCCAACCTCTCAAATCTGGAGGACCTAGTGTTCCCTTGCAATATTTGGGGCACCCACCACCCATTTTAGAACCTATTTGAGTGGTTGGATTGGGATGTTCACTGGGGCTACGATTTGGCTTTTGACCCATGGCCATATGTAGGGCACCGTATCTCCGTCCGCGTGGACACAAGGTCCGCTTGCAATGCGGCAGGGGGCATCCATCGAGTTTCTCCCTGAGTCGGTCGGAAAATGCTCAGGCAGTCGCCTGGCATTCCTCCTCCCAGTGCGCCAGACAGCTGTCCAACTGGACATATCCATAGGTGTTCTGATTAGGTTGGTTTGGTTAGAAACAGACGGCACGTTTTTATTCCATTTACCAGGGCCATCTACTTCATGAAAAGCACACCTATGGACCGATCATGTTCGATCATGTGGGGAACTTGTCTTACGCCCCAAAAACACCACCCAAACACCTCCAAACATAGTGGATTTTATTCTTTCCCAAGGGGATGTTTTTTTTTGGGGGGTGTTTGGGGTGTCCCCTTCAGGGCAGTGTGAGTGTGTGTGTGTGTGCTTTTTGGTGTCAAAGGAGCAATTTTTACGTTGGGGTCAAAGGTAAACCGAAAGGAAACCGCTATTTTTGGGTGTCCCTCTCCAATCTGTTGCCACACTCCCCTGCATTTTGCACATACCAGGCACTCATGCAGCTTTGCCGGTAGCTCTTTGGGAGTCATTTGCAAATGCACTGGGTCAACGTGTACCATCTTATAGCTTGCATGATGTGCGTCGCAAATCCCTGGGCCCCGTGCCGATCGGCCAAGTTTTGAAGGCCACTCTTGGTTTCTCTTTTGGCCCCCAAAAGTGTCTCTTGTCGTTGTGTTTGGCGCTCATGTCTCAAGAATCATAGAGTTAGTTATCGCGTGACAGTGATAGCGGGAGAAGAAAAGACATATGAGCCCGTTTCGCCCGTGCGACTGTGACGGTCGAGTGTTCAGGGAACCACTGCGAGTCCTGCTGAGCAAACGGGTGAAAGCTTTACTCGCCTTACAACCCCTTTACCCATTCCTGGTTTGATACTGGCTGACGTTACTGTTGTCGGTATTGATCGCAACCCCAAGACGCCAGGGGCGATGAGTGTCCTGTTCATCACGCACAGGTACTGCGTCACACTTACCCGGCCTACCAACAAATTGTTTACTGACATGGTGATAGAAAAGGTCAACATTCCTTGCTGAGGGTTCTTTCCTGTTGCTTTCAGGTTTTTAGGTGTTTTGTTTTTTTGTATTTCTGTTCTGTTTATTTTATGGGCTGCAAAAAAACCGTTTGCTACCATACCAAGGGTTGTAAAGGGGCAACACACAATTCCAACGCCCCGCTCGGACACCAATGTAGCCATGCTTGCAAAGGACCCGAGTGGATACATAGAGCACGGTAGGTGTTGCCGCCGGATGGAAATTTAAATGGGCCTGTCTTAAGATGTAGGGAACCAAAAAAGATCTTGGTATTTCTTCTGGTTTGCCTTTTAAACCAACCAACACAGAATTCCCTAAAAAAGGCACACCCAAACTTTCATGCACTGGAGGCCGAAGAGGTGATCTTGGCTCCTCATGTTGGGTTGCCGGACTGTGTCAATAGACGTGTTCAGGGTCGGGAATCAAGGAGCATCAGATGCCTGTAAGTCTATCAAAATCGGGCACATCCAGACTGGCCTACAATTGCTGGGGGAGAGAAGCGACACGATTGTAACTTCACTGTTGTTGGCGTGTTCTTAGGTTCTTAGGTTTTCTTTTTTTTGGGGGGCCGCAAAAAACATACAGCTTTTTGCAAGCCTATACCAAAGGATGGAAAGGTAAATCTCAGAATTTGTATCCATGGAGCTCACATGATGCGACAGCGGCGTGAGGTACTTGGCAACAGGCTCCACAGACCGCCACTGCATGGCAGCTCGTCGAGAGCGGGGAACAGGGAACTGGATGCCAAGGAGACTAACTTGACCACTCCCTCGATTTTCCGTTTTTGGTTCTCAAAACATCTTGGTGGCTCCCAGCCATCTGATTCCTTAGCTTTTTAGCATTTTAGTGTTTAGTGGTAGTTTACTTTTGACCCACTAAAGTCCAACTTTTACGGGGGATCTGAGGGCAACCCAGAAAAATGTGACAGTCTTTCTCGAGGGCGCGACTTTTGATGGGGAAATCCAGTGACCCGTGTCTCATTCCAAGCTGTAGATTTTGCTTTGGGCACGATTCGATCACTCGGGGCGTACTTCGGATTTCATCCGAAGGCATCCGAATGCATCCAAGGCACAGGACTGTGACACGGGGTCAACTGGGATAGCCGGCGAGTCAACGCAGGCCAGAGATCAAAGCTCTGGTCATATGGCTGTGGGTCAAAACCAATGGGATCCCATTTTGGGGTAGGTGCACCCCCCATTTTTGTCTATTTTAGTGGGGAGAGGGATGTTCACTGGGGGATTTTGGGGGTTTTGAAAAAATGGTCATATCCTTGGCAGGCACCTCAATCTTACCAAGTGGCTCGCTGTTGCGAACGATTCCCCGGCTGACATGGGATTTTGGTGACACCTCCTGTGCGAGTTGGACGCACCTTCCTTCCGTGACGAATGTTGGCCTTCCAAAACCTGCGAGCTGAATCCATAGGTGTCTTTTTTGGTTGTTTTGGTCGAAAAATCGAGGGGTTTCGATTCTTGGTTCACCTGGCGCTGCAAGATCTACCAGGGAAACCCGTCGATTTCCAACCGAAAAGGACACCTATGGCTAAACCTGGCAGCCCCTTTGCCCTTTCTGAGTTGGCCGATCCACGTTTCGTCGTTTCGTTTTTGCCATGTTTCTGGGTGGACGCACCAGGGTCTGCCAGCTTTGTCCCAATAACCAACGACAGGTTCTGGGGAAAGTCATAGGCAAGCCATCCGGGGAGGTGCTAGGTTTGGAGGGCAGAGAGGAAGCCATTGGCACGCCATCTATGGAATTCGCTTGCTTCAGTCATTCGCGCCGTGCAATGCACGCGACTTTCCAGGCGCATGCCACGTTCAGAAAACTCTCAAGCTTGCAAGCCTTGCCGCTCTTATTTGGCGGTGGATGTCAAAACCGTTTTGGGATCCCATTTTGGGGTAGGTGCACCACCCATTTTAGAACTTATTTTTGGGGGGATTGGGATGTTCACTGGGGGTACGATTTGGGTTTTGACCCATGGCCATTTGTTTTAACCCATTGCAAAAAGCGCCGGCCCCGCTCGCCAAGGTCTATGACGTTTCCCTGGCGGAGGAGGGCCGCTCGCCGAGCTTCGGCACACCTCAGGCGAATGAATTCCTGCCACAGCCGATTGGGCTGTGCCTGCGTTTCATGGTTGTTGTTGGGAAGCATTTTACTCTTGTGCTTATTATGGTTAAAAAGTAATGCTCCCCTTTCAACATCAACCAAGGTTTGTCGTTTTTGTGTTTGCGGATTTTTGGCGCGTGCTTGTGTACTTCTTCCTTTTTGGATTTTGCAAACACACTATGTGTGCGTGTGTGTGTGTGTGTGGTAAGGAGCCAAACTACGTGAGAAAAGAGTCAAAGAGAACCAGCTGGCTTGCGGCTGCTAGATTTCCGCAAAGCTCCGTGGGCGATTGTAGCTGAGAGTTCTTGCAGCTTCCAGGCGAAGGCGAAGTTCGGAGAGTTGAAATCGCCGTGTTTGGGCACACGCCGAACAGAGCGCGGGCGGCAAAAAAAACACACCCCAAGCACAACTTGGTGTCAAGCAGCATGCAGAAGTACAAGAAGGATTGCTTAAGAATGCCCAACATGCTTATATTGTTGCTGGTGACATCATGATAGTGTGTGTGTGTACAACTAACCATATACGTATATGCATTGTCTAAACCGATGAGTTAGTAATGCTCTTCTCAAAACGAATCCATGCATTCGTGCATGCCGACTCCTTTCGCGAAAGTGTGACTTCACAATTGAATTCCACCAGCTTGTCTGTTTCAGAAGAAGGCTTATTGCTTTGCTTTTCGAGTTGTTGTTTTGCGGTGATTTGCTTTGCTTGCCCCACAATGAATGGCTTAAGTCTTGCTGGTTCTCAGCGAATGCGGGAATGACCCCCTACCATCCCTTGTGGCTTCCTTTGAGGGGACTGGGTTCAGTCCCATCCCGACTTATCGCACCAGCAAGAACTGCTTATAGGTTTGCTTCCACAAAGAATGCCCGAAAGTGCCACCGTTTGTTGTCTCAGAGGGAGAAAACAATTTTTTAAGGGCCACCGCTTGAGCGGGGCACAGACTTGGCAAGCACCTACACTGTAGCCATGCCATCACTGTTATTCTACTCTGTTCAAGTGTTGATGTGTGTTTGCGTGGTGTCTGTGTGTTTGTGTGTCTGTGTGTCTGTGTGTCTGTGTGTCTGTGTGTCTGTGTGTCTGTGTGTCTGTGTTGTGTGTCTGTGTGCAAGAGGCAGTCAATTAAAGCTTTCCGCATGGAAGCACGCCTGGAAACTTGGCTAGTTTGATTAGTTTGCAGTGAGTATGGTGTATGCCCTAAGCATTCCAAGGGAACGAACAACCCCTGTAACTTGCCTTACTTTGCCATGCTTTTGTGGTTAAGTACAGTTGCTTTACTTGCATGGTGTGTCGTTTTTTAGCGATCGGACCCCCCCATATATGTATAATATATATATATATACACACACATATGGTGGTTTTTGTTTAGTCCTCCTTTAAACACCGAAGAACGAAGGGTGCCCTCAAAAAAGACTCCCCACATTAACATGCACTAACCACTTGGGCGTGTCCTTTTTTAGGGAACCCCACCAAAGTAGCAATTTACCTTTTGGTTCCCTTTTAAAACCACCATCCCAAAAAAACGATTTTTTTTGGGGGTGGATCCCCAAAATCATGGTTTCGCTTTGCTTTCCCTTCAACCCCACCAAGAACGTGCACCCCAACCCCAAAAAACACATATTGTTCACTTGGCATTTGTACGCCAAGTTAGCACGGCCGAAACGCTTCAGCCGAATCGGGAGGTAACGGAAGATGCCGCCGCATGGATTAACGCCATCGCGTCGCGCCCTCAAGGGGGAAATCTGGTATGTCGGAAGGACCACTCCTGGTGCATGAGTGAATAATACAATGAATTTCATATAGATATATGTGGGATGTATACATGTGTGTGTATAATAATAATAATAATAATAATAATAATAGTAATGATAGCAGAACTATGATCAATATTTGTTCTGACCAAATTATGATAATGACAATCATAGGGATAATAATGACAATCACGAAAATGAGAATAATGATCATATACACTAACATAGTAATACAGTAGCATAAAATGATAATTATGGGATCATGACACATGATAATTAGTAATGGTGATGATTAGTGAACATGACAATACTGATAGTATTGTTTGGTGTCTTCTTTCTCGGCCCAGTTCGGCCGTTCCATTGCATTTGTGTTTGGATCTCGTGCGAAGAGACTTGCAGCAAGCGACTGGCAGTGGCGGATGGCAATGCTAGTTTGTATAGGTATCTCAGCTTCCGAGCAGGAGCCATTGTGCTAATATTGGCTTGGAGTCGTAATGATTGATTTCAATTTGCTCACACATCATCCGCGGCAGTTCCGTCTGAAGGGAGTGGCACAAAGGACTTTGGGAAAGAAACAACATATTCCTGCTGACTGTTCCCAACATTTTTTGCATTCACGGTCGAAGGCAGGGGGGTCTTTTTGCCACCTTTGGTGAGAAAATGGGCGACCCCCTCAAAAAGGAATCCTTCACTACCAGGGGGTCGATCATTTTTCCACCCAAGGTGGCAAAAAGACCCCCCTGGTCGAAGGACCTTTTGTGAGAAAGGCCGAGAAAGGCTGCCGGAGAACCAGGATCACAATCTTCCAATCTTTGGCTCAGTGCTCTCTTTTTGGAGCCATTTGACATTTAAGATTTGCCGGGATTTGCATGCTACCATTGCTACCCAGCTTGCAGCCATATCCCAACCAAGATGATGCTTGTACTTCATCAAGTCGTTCTTGGAACCCTGTCCCACTGCCGCATTGAATGGGGAATCCATCAACGAAGGGGATGTGTCTTACAGTGTTTCAGAAAAATACATTGCACCTATGAAGGACTGTCGTCCAATCCTTCTCTCGCAGATTCTGCATCACTTCCCGAGTTGCAGGGCTTGATGCCTTTTTGGGAAGACCGTTTTAGTGAAAGCCATGCTTGGCTAGGTCCCCCAGCTAGGTGCCCTGTTATCCTTTTTTGGGGGAGGGTGCCCCTACTAAGATAGACTACAGAAAGAAGGGTACCCTTATTCTAGCCTCTCCACTGGGGGACCTAGTTGGCCTGCTTGGCGGTGTTTTGCGTTTTGATCTTCGACAGGTTCAGCAACGGCAACGTTCTGGCCTTTGCCTGCCAGGATCTGAGGTTGGACTTTTCGTGGCTTGGTCCGACCGGATGGCCCCTTAGACCCACAAAACGTTCGACCGTTTGCTCAGGGGAAAAGAGAAACCCAGTTTAGGCCGGCCGGCCAACCCCAGTGGAAGTCGAACATTATAGCACCAGCAGGAGAGGAAACAAGCATCAGCGCGAACACTGACACGACCCCAGCGAGAACAACTTCCATGAATGCAGCAGCAGAAGTAGCAGCAGCAGAAAAGGCAACAGGTGGTCATTCGTGAGCAATGCATGTGCCCAGATTTATAAGTCAAGCCCCCGATACACAGTGAACCAAGCGAGGCATGCAAGGACATATGTTCGCTGCCAGTGGACTGGCGCATTTTAGCCTTTGTCTCAGGTCCCGTTGGCCTTTCTGTCTTCCAACACTTTGACTTCAATCCTTGTTATTTTGCAACTTTGTTGATTCATACACCCTTCCTCCAACATGGCAACTGACAGGGGCTCCCTAAAGGAAATGAATCTTCCAGGTACCTCCCCCCAGGTGCCATGTTAGTTGGAGGAAGGGTACTTGCTGTCGTTTCACTGACGTCACGTAGGTCTTCCAACACCTCACTCCCTTTCTGAACTTGAAACTTTGCCCAGTTGCCCAGCGGATTCCGCCCTTGTTTTCCTTCTTTTTGGGAAGGGTCCCCCTTGAAGCTCAACCAAACAAGGATGCCGATTCTTTTTTCCCCATGGAAATACACTGGGCATCTGATCTGACTTCTGCACCCTACATCTTTCAGCTGGGTGTTTCTCAAAATCAGAGTCGGTCCCTTAAAACGGCAAGGGCACACTCGTTGTGGCATCCCTGTAATTATCACCCAAAAGGGGTCCGAATCCTGGGTATGCGTCAAAATAGGGGAACCCCCCAAAATTGCTGGGTAACCAGTCCAAACGCCGTATCCTCATAAGAACAGACAAAGATCAAGGGACCCAGCCCGCAATCATGTGTAGCATCCAATCGAACTCATTTTTTAAAACCCATTTGGCCCCACTATTTTATCAACGTCACCCCTCAAGTGGCGGGTTAAAGGATTTTCTGACTTTGATAACCCCTAGAAGCAGTCAAAACCATGAGCCCCAAAGTATGTTGGGGCGGAGGACACGGGCGCCCGTCTTTGCACCTCGCGTGGAAACCAAGAGGAAAGCCACCATTTTGGAGGGGTCCAAGCGGCAAACACACCCATACCTCAACACATAGCATCGCTTAAACAAAACTGGACCCAGAACAAGTTAACGGTTGTTTTTGTTCAGAGGGGGTGGTCGCTACAGCAACCAAGAGAAATGATGCCCAGTTTTCAGAACCTTTGGGTGAAAGTCATGTGGGTATGGGTCAAAATCCAACCACCAGGATATGGACCGCGGGTTTCGGTCCACGTGTCCACTTACCAGGGCAACCCATTTTGGGGTTACCCTATTTCTGACCCACACCCACATCAACAAGCCCTCACGGTTCAACTCGCTGATCTTTGAACTCGGCTCCCCGTTGCCATGGCCCTGGGTGGGGGTCCCTTGGTCCGTTGAAACGAACACGAAACCCCAGGTGAGCCACTTGCTCAACTCCCGGGTAATTGGAGGGTAGGGAGAATCCCCTTGCCGGACATCGCTGCGGGAATCCGGCTTAATTCTTGAAGCATGGTTCTGGGTCGACCATTTTGGTACCAGGTTTTGATTATGACCCAAGTGGAGGTTGGGTACCGATTTCTGATCCATTTCCCTTGCAGCTGGCTGGAGGTCAGGACGCCACTCTCCGGTTCAAGGCCCTCAGCGGAGGCCGCGATGCGCCGGTGCAGCTGCTGAGGCCGGCGGGGACTCACACGGCCATGGTTCGAAACCGTTTTGGGATCCCATTTTGGGTTTTCGGTGCACCACCCATTTTAGAACCTATTTTAGTGGGGATTGGGATGTTCACTGGGGGTACGATTTGGATTTTGACCCATGGCCACTTGGTGCGGAACCAGCGAATCGTTCCTCCGGGTTCCACCGAGGTTTATCGTTGGTTGTTAGATCCTTTGAGTTGGCTTAGTGCTAGTGTTCATTCGGTTTTTAGATCTTTCTAGTTGGCTTAGTGCTAGTGCTGATTTTTTCCCACAAGTTACTTAGCTTCCCAGTTGGCTTAGTGCTAGTTTTCATTTCACCCACAAATTAGACGATTAGCAGGGCATTTGAGAACAGCCAAAGAGGAATTATCAGTCCAAAGCGAATCGACCGGATCTGACCTTCTGGTTTCCTGTGTTGATGAAGCTGTCCTGGTGCTGGTTTAGGGTGGGTGTAGGGTGAGTTTGGGGTTGGTTTAGGGTGGATTCAGGGCCCTCTTAGGCTGAGTTTAGGGCTGGCGGAAAGTCCAAACTTAGGCGCAGGTTGCTGCCTGACGATCCATGCTGCACCCTCAACATATATATCTTCCTCTTTTTGTTGAGGTGTCCGGTTTGTTTGGGTTGTTTTGAAGGGAAGGAAACTGACACCACCAATTTGTTGTGGGGTTCCCATATTTTGCGACCCCAACTCCTGCTTCCTTGAGAACGAGCACAACAACGGCATTTTGCTTTCATCACCGATGCAGTCGACACCACCCCACTTTTGTCAGGTTCGCACAGGAAAGCCAGGCATTTTCATCCTGTCGCCAATCCCTGTTGCTTTGGAGCATTCGCACGTCATGGCCTCAAACCCGGATATGTTCTGCCTATTTCATAGCGAGCTCACAGATCCGGGGTACAACAAGCTCACCATGTCCAAGGTCCTTTTGCTTGGGGATCCCTGAATTCAGCTTCTGGAATTATAGTAAAAAGTTGCAGATACTGCGGATGGTTGCAAAATCCATTTCGCACCACCTCAGAATCCCTGGAATGATGATTCCCCTGTAAATACCAACAACAATGGGTTCTCATGATTTCAATCTGGTGCAGGATTTTGTCCATCCACAGTACGTTGGAGGTAGACACTTACCGTCAAGTGACAGCGATTCCATTGGATCACTTCCAATCCATGCCACTCAGCCATTGCACATGAATTGAAAAGGGCACCCTTTGAACATCATTAAAAGGAATCGATCAGTACTGGAAACATTTATATTCATTTTCCAGCGAGTTTAAGCAAATGGAAGAGAAGGGGATTCAAAATCCACTAACCACTTTTGAGGCGGTTCCCTCTTCAAATTCATGGCCAGGCTTTGGAATCCGCGTCTGCATTTGAGCAGACTGCCCTCGGTCGCTCGAGACTCGCACTGCAGGTGGCGGGGCCTGCCTTTTTTGTGCCTGGCCTTCGTTGGACGCTCCCAGCCGGGCACTGAGCGCCGGAGGTTCATGGCCTGGGATGCGATTGGTCCCCCAGCGATTGGGGCCGTCTCTCGCCCCTTTTTTTTGGGTTGGGAGGGGGAACCCCCTACTAAAATAGACTACAGAACAAAGTTGGTACCCTGATTCTAACCTCTCTACTGGAGGACCTGGGGAGTGTTTCTTCGCTTTTGTTTTGGTTCCCCTTTTTTGAACCAGCCAACACGGGCACCAAGCCTCAAAAACAGAAAGACACACCCGAATGGATCTGTTTTGTTTGAGGCTCGGTACCCTTCTTGCTTGGTTTGAACGGAAGCCAAAAGGAAAACCAATGCCATTTTGGGGGGTCCGATTCACAAAAAAGACAGATCCAACTTGCTTTTCCATTCAACCTACACACGGTCGACCTTTTGCCCACGCAGGCACCCGTTGCCGGGTCCTCGCGAGAAACTTCCGGGTCAAAGGTTTTGGCTACGATAGAAGCTCCAAGTAGGTAACCCTAGCCCTTGTATGATCCGCCAAGAGAAGAGGGGTGTAGTTGCAAAAAGGAGCTGGCCAGAGGGCGGCCATTCCACAGTAAACCGACATGTTGCTTGTGCACTTCATCATGGTTCAAGGTTTCCTTGTTGGACTCTCGTCGATGAATCAAATCACCCGATAGAACCCGGGATGCGATTGGTCCCTTTGGTAGGCTTTCAAGCTTTCAAGCTGCCTGGCTGCAGCTGACTCCTGAGGCATTCATCCGCAAGAATCCAATGAAGGCGTTGCCCATCAGCTCAACACAGACTGCAACCAGCGGCACAACTTCACCCAGAGATGCATTAAGGAATCCCGGGGGTGGGTCCAAGAAAGTTCGTTCCCTGAGGCTCTCCAAGAAATCATAGGGAACTTCAAGGAACCCGAGCACTCCCCGCCTAGTTCCATACATCCAGTGTCTGCCTTCTGGCCAAAAGATCCGGACGAATCCTTTGGAACTTGAACAATCGAGTGTGGCCTTCACTTTGCGGCAGCCCGGATTCGTCCAAGATCTTTTGTCCGGACACCAGGACGCTGGATGTATGGAATTCCTAGGCGGGGGGGGTGGGGTAGTTAAGAGCCCCACAGTTCCTTGAATTCGCTTAGAGAGTTAAAGATTCACCACCTTCTCCCTCCCCGGACCAGCCCATACTGCGGACAAAATCTGTTCGCAGTTTGAAACCATGGTTGAACCCATGGTTTCTTGGTATTTACGTCAAAGAATCATTCCAGGGATTCTGCTCGGTGCGAAATGGATTTCGCCACCATCAGTAGGGATTCCCTCGGGCCGCCAGCAGCTTCCCCAGGTTGGTGGCCTGTGGCTTTGACTATGTGCCGGTGCTCTTTCTCCAGAACGAGGGCACCTGGCAGGCGGTGAAAACCACGGCGATCACAAACCGTTGAGCTCGTGTTTTTTTCTTTTTTGTTTTTTGTTGTTTATCAGTTTTTTTCTTCCTCGCCCCTCCCTGATTTGAGTTCCTTAGAATACCGTACAATACCAACCAAAAGCACCTCCAGAATTAGTATGTAGGGTGTCTGGATAGAATACCGACCAAAAGGGCCAAAAGAGCTCTGAATCCCATGTAAAGAAACTCACGTTTGGCAGGGGGCGGCTTACCTCCACGGAATGTGAGGACGGCATATACATATATTTGTATTATACATATTTATATACACGTTTCACCATACAGGGTTAAAGGTTGTACAGCTGGGATGTTGCATGCTATGTTGCAGAGTGGGCAATGGATTTGGTCACTGTGTCAATCAGTGCCAAGTTTGAGAGTGGTTGTACATGCCTTTATTTCCGTTGCTCTGAATGGCCTTTGTTTGATTGCAATGCGCCTCATGCAAAGCATGTGGAAGCAATCAAGCTGTGTCCTTTTGTGAATATGTGTGTGTGTGTTGCGCATTGTTGGGGATTCGTAGGGGCTGTCCCTTGCTGCATGCCAAGGCAATCTGTTTTCAGCAATGTGGACAGCTCATGTGACGATCAACGCTTGCTTTGTTGAGCAGAGGAGGTGCCATCATGTAGGCCTTTGAGTGGCCGGTTCGGGTGTAGAAATGGGGGGGGGGGGTCAAAATCAGGAGCTGTTTTTTGGTAGCCCCTTTAAATGGCAGCACAAGGCGGCACCAGGGTCCAAAAAAAGGAGCCATAGTTTTGACCACCCCATGTGTGTGTGTGTGTGTGTCGGGTGTTTGTGTGTGTGTGTGTGTGTCGGGTGTTTGCGTGTTTGCGTGTTTGCGTGTTTGCGTGTTTGCGTGTGTGTGTGTGTGTACTTCTCATGAAAGAGTAAGCAGACACGGCATCTTACTCGAGCTTCTCACCTAGCAGAAGCATTCCTTCGTACAACTCTGGGCCGGCACTAGCCTTCCGCTTTGAACGACAGCTGCCAGCAGAATTCGGAGCTTGGGAACACGTTGACCAACACCCAGGAAACGGAATGCGATATCCACTTAGGACACTTGGCCAAGTTATCAAGGAATCAGTCAAGAGACAAAACTGGTTACTGTTGACCCAGATGAATGAATCCGTCCTACTAACAGGGGGATATTCCAATAGTGATGAATCCAACCACTAAAACGGGGGCACCCTCAATCAAAGTCAACCCAGTCTTCATCTGGGGTGAACATTTACTGCACACGGATGGGTATGGGTCAAAATTAAACCACCAGGATATGGACCGCAGCTTTTAGTCCTTCTTTCCATTTACCAGGGAAGCCCATTTTGGGATTCTCTATTTTGGACAACCACAGCCAGATGGCTCAAATGGGCCTTGCGTCGGCCTTCCGCAACCCTTCCATTTGCTCTAGGATATTTGTGACTTACCTCGGTTTTGAGGAAAGCTCTCACTCTTGGATATTTGTTTTTTCCTTCCATTTGTTTAAGAATATGTTTCATGTTCCCCTGTTGGTTTTAAAAGGAATCGATCACTACTGGAAATATTGTTTTTTCCTGGGGGCTTAAGCAAATGGAAGGCCCCCACATGGCTTTCATCTGGTTTTGCCTTGAAACCAACCCCAAAAAGGCTACACTCAAAGCAAGACAACCGCAGATGGGTATGGGAGCTGTGGCAGACTACATCAGAACCCCAGAAAAAAAAGCAGGTGGTTGTTGAAAAGAACGATGAGCAGAATGGAAACGGAATCAACCCCTAGAGCTATTGGATATTGGTTTTAAATATGCCAGGCGCAAGCCAGCGGGAAGCCACGAACTGAGACCGCAGGTTGCTGGCAGCCTGGACGCTGGCCCCGCCCTCCCGCCACGCTTAGACATTCGGAGGGAGCGACCGGGGGTTCCCGGGGTCTCATGGGTAGCTTGCTGCTTCCACCAGATCGTCCGGGTCAACTTAGATTTTTGGTGGGTAGGTGGTTTCGTAGGGGTGTGTTTGGTTCGACTTCGGTCTTGAGTTGTTTTAAGGTGGTCTAGTCGTTGAGCTTCCATTTAGCCCACTACAAGTTAAACTTGTAGCAGGGGATCTAAGGACAGCCCAGGTAGGTTTGTCACGTTTAGCTTGCATTTGCCTGATCCCCCAAAAGCTGCCCAAAACGCACAACCCCCGCAACCCCCCACAAGCCCCAACCCCCCACAAGCAGTTGTGAACTGAATGTGCTTTATTCTCCCTTTAATTATTCGTTGATTTGATCGAGTCCTAGTCGGTCCCCCGGCAATTCCTGACGCTCGACAGACATCAATTCGACGGCCAGGCAACACCCAGTGCGGCCGGGGTCTCGACTCGATGCTTCGCCAAAGCTGCTCCGAGCAAGCCCACCAACCACTTCTAGCGTGGTTCTGACTCTTGCAGATCACACCACCACATTGGCTATGGGTTACAATTAAACCGCCAGTTTTGGTTGGTTTAGTGGTACGGACAGCCCAATAGAGCATGGTTGCCTCTTAGCAGTATCCACAGAAGGAAAAGGAGCAGTTAAATCAAATAAAGCCGCGCAAGACTGTAACTGTGGCTTCCTGCATGGTGGTTCTCTGTTTAGTTTTCCTTTAAATCTACCCTTAAAAGGGTACCAACAAGAAACAGCAGTACAGCCCTACCTAATCAAACATGGTCTTAGGTCCAGAATGTTTGGACATTAAAAGGGTACCCTCAACAAAAACACACACCCACACTGTGCATGGTTGCAAAATCTGTTCGCAACACCGTTCAGAAGCCCAACGGAATGACTGACTCCGCAAGGTAAATACCATTACAAGCCTTACTTTTTGAATTATTGTTTCAAAGTGGTGCGAAGGGAAAAGCCAGAACCATCCCAGGTTTCATTTCGGTGGGGCGAGTTCGAAACAGATTTCGCAACCGTTCACAGAGGCGCTAGGCTCACTGACAGAGTGACAGATGTGAGGCTTCGGGCATGCGGGACTCCTTCGATGAAGCACGGAAGCGCCAGGTGCTCAGAGTGGTGCAGTTTGGACACCCGGACCTGTCTCAAGACTTAGGACTCCTTTCTGGGTCTTCCAAGGAAAATCAAAGAAAACAAGGAAATTGCCCGTTTTTGTTAAAAAAAGACACTCTAAATGAACCATTCTCATAATAGGAAGCCTGCTGTTGGATGGTTCTCAAAAATTGGACACCAAGAGGCAAGCAACCTGGGCCCGATTTTTGAGAAACGCCCAAATGGTTTCTAACAGAGGTTCCAGCTCACATGATAATGTAGATCACCCAAGAAGCCCTGTGGCACCCTATATGTATTGAATAATTCCGGCGTGAGTCATACCCTGAAGGTATCCACATGTTACTCCCGTGTAGCAGTGTAGCCCTCAGGTCTAAATCCCCTAATTGGCCCTGACCTTAGGGAAACGACCCTGATGCTTGTTGAAGCTTGCAGCATACGTGACGCGTTCATATCAGTGTGGGGGTTTCAGTTGAAATGAACGCAGCTTTTGATGGATGCCCCATGTTGCGGATGCCCAATCGCTGCTGGCAAAGACCGGAAGGTACTGCCGTGAAACTGTCCCGGCTTGAGGCCTAGAGACCCCAAACGCACGCCCAGTGCCCTTTTGTTGGAGTTGGCTCGTTTTTTTTTGGGGGGGGGGTCCGGGGCCTTCCTCGGCTTCGATATGTTCTTCATGCGTTTCTGTTTGCGCTGAAGCAGCGGACCTGCGTGATCGCAAATGGCCGCGCGGATCGAAAGAAAAGAAAAAGAGAGCGCCGTTTTTTTGGAGGGGGGGTTCCCTTTGAAGGCAACGGCCTCAAAACGGGTGGCCGATTTTTGTTTCTCCCGGCGGAACTCCGCTTGTGGAAGTTGTCGAAGTCTTCTCTGAGTTCCGGGCAGAATGCAACGCTGAGAAACGGAACAAATGCAACCAGACGGTGGGTTTCATAAAACACATGAGGTGTTCTAGCATTCAAGGGCGAGCGTGTTCTTGTCTTGGTGGCTCCGGGGGGGTTGTCAAATACGGAGCCCTTTTGGGTACCTCTCAAAAGAGGGGGCCATGCCATTTGTGGACAAATCCGCCCTAGTGGGATCCATCATTTGTTTGTTTGTCGCGAGCCGTTTTTTTCCTTCTTTGCGCGGGTATCCCTTTTGTGGGGTTTTAAAGGGAAACCAAGACATGGTTGGGTCCCGTGAGAAAAAACCATTTGCTTAAGAATGTGTTATATAATCCCGTGTCGGCTCAAAAGGGAATCTATGACCACTGAACACATTTTCTTCCAGGGGGCTGATGCAAATGCAAGTTTGCGGATTTGGTTCCGTGTTAGTGTTCAGGGCGCCTTTGGGCCTTTCCTCCCGGCGTCCGTTCAAGGCTTTCGCGGCAGCACCTCCGGCAAGGCGCGGTTTCTTCCGATGGCCGTGAGATCCGCTGGCGTGTTGCCAACGAGACGTCTGACTTGGAGGGTTTCTTTCTAGCTATGTGGTTGAATCTTTAAACTGTAGCGCTATTCACTTTTTGCAGAGGGGGGTCAACAGCAAAACCAAGGTTTGACAGAGGCAAGTGGGAGCCTTGTTGATGCCAAAACTTGCTGGTGCTCAGTAGGGAATGACCTGCCGGGTGTTGGGCATGAAGCGGAAGGGGATTCGCACTCGAGCCTGCAGGCACTTCCAACAATTGCCTGTGTCCAAGGAGCCGCTCCATCCCAGTGGCACGGTACTGTTCAGCCAGACAAGGTCTGGTAGACAATGGGCCAACAAGATCTAAAGAGTAGAAGGAGGACTATGTGCAGGTAGCGTCGGACCTTCCCTTCAATTTACAACTGTTGCGCTCAAGAACAAGGACACTGGAAAAACGACAGCTGATTCTGCTTGCAGGATGCCTAGAAATGTTAATCTGGGTTGTGTTCCAGTGCGGTTCATTTCAATATTTTGTCAGGTAACCCTGAGTTGTTGGATTTGAACCCCTGGCTTTGGCAATTTGGTCGTGCTAAATGTGACACCCCTCCTTAGCCACCAAACCACCAACCTCCAACTTTTTTTTTGGGGGGGGAAATGGACAATTTGTGTGGCCGGATGCAAGGGCGAAACTTACCTCACCGCAGCTGGCCAGGTGGATGCCACTTCGAGCTGGCACAGCAATACCATCACTTCCTGCTGCAGCAAGCTCAGACCTAGGTCCCCCAGCTAGGTGCCCTTCTCTACCAACTTGTTTTGCTGGGAGGATTTCCCTACTAAAATAGACTACAGGAAAAAACAAAGAAACAGTTGATACCCTTATTCTGACCTCTCAAATCTGGAGCTGGAGACAGTCGCCGAACGCCTCGAGTTCGGGTTTGCGCGCCAGGCGGTAGCAGGTCTCACAACCAAAGGTTGCAGCTTTGCTTGGCTCCAGCCATCCGGCTCAACTTTTTGCAGGGATCTGAGGGCAGCCCGGTTTGCAACTTGCGAAGCTTGTTGGATGGTTGCACGTTTCGCAGGGGGAAGGGTCCATGATTCGAAGGCAGCCACGCCCTCGGTGATATGGAGAAATGCATACAAGGATCTGCAAAAGGCACCTAGATTTGCAGCTCCAAATGCTCAAGCAAGGGTTTTTCCTATTGCACCCTGGGATTAAGCCCTCTGAGGAATTATCATATTCTAGCCTATTTCCAGATACTTTGCGATTATTGTAGGTATTTTCCTGAGAGTGTATTTCCAGGGTGCAACTAGAAAATCCTTGGACTCAAGCAAATCCCCAATAGTGCAGGTAAATTTGAAAATGGATCCACTGGGGTAAATGAGAGCATGAGATCCGCATGTTGTTTGTGTTAGGAGTTTGTCGGAGGGGAAAAAGCGATGCAGGACGTCCTTTTTAAGGGTGTTTCCTCCGCAAAATGTAAAGCCATACTGGACGTAACGTCAAAAGACTGCACACCAGACAAGTATTTTGTTTGCTGGCTCACAGGGGTGTGTTTAAATTGAGGCTAGCCCTTTATTATGGCTTTTTGTAAGGTGAGTCGAAAGGAAAGCCACCATTTTGGGGGTCCCCCTGCCCCACAGACGGTTTAATGAAGGGAGCCCAGTGGTATGGTCCGCCAATCACGTTTGTTGATCTTTGAACACGTTTTCACCTTTAACTTCCTGCAACACTAGCCTTGTCAGACACACGAGTGTTTACAAAGGATGTGTACTTTAAGACTGTTTGGGAAGACCGCTTTAGTGGGAAATAAATAACAGTTCGGACTTTTCTGGCCCGATCCCTCAGGAAGTGAGGGGAATTGTGCCATCTACTTGTTTGGTGTAATAGCTTGGTCACTTCCCAAGTTGGACTTGGCACTTTTCGGGTTTACACCATTCCAGTGGTTTAAATGAACAGTTGGTTCCCATTTTAGTGGCAGATTGAACAAAATGGTGCAACCCCAAATGCAAGTTTGACCATTTCACTGGTTTAAATTCACAGTTGATGGCATTTTTGGCCAATAGAACCTTTCCTCAAAAGGGACCCTCTGGTGGGTCCATGTTAGTGGACAGGAGGGTAGTTAGTTGGTTGCATGTTTTGGCCACTCGATCCGTTTGGTCAAAGTCTTGGAGCGGCTCGACGTGTTTGCCGTCCGACGAGGTCCGCTGGGGGACGGGCGCTTCTCCACCTCGGCGCTGGATGGCACCGCCGGGCGCTTGGCCGCGAGCGGGAGCGATCTAAGACTTTAGTAGTTTCAAGAGTTTTAGATGTTAATATTTAAGATTCCAAGATGCAAGATTTTGAAATTCCAAGATTTGAAGGCTTTAAGATTTCAAGATTTCAAGCCAGTAGATTGGCTCAGGTTTACTTGCTGTTGCCATAGGTAGGGAATGAGTCGAGAGCCACTTGCTCAAACCCTGGTGGCTGATTCGAGCCCTTTTCGTCTTGGTAGTTTAAATAGAAGCCATAAAAGGAAAGCCGCTCATAGTTTGTCCGATTTCTTGCACATGAGCCACTTGCTCAAAACGGTGGTGATGAAGGTTAGTAACTTCCATTTGCTGAAATGAACATGTTTGTTATTTTCCGTTGTTGGCTTTAAAGGGAATCCATCACTACTGGACATGGTGTGTGTGTGTGTGCGCGTGTGTGTGTGTGTGTTTGCTTTTTTTGCCGGGGGCTTAACCAAGCAAATGGAAGCTAAGGGACAATCCCAACCACAAATGGGTGCAGGAATCGGCCTTGTTAATTCTTTACATGGTTCTGGGAAGAGCATTCTAGTACCAGGTTTTGCTTATGACTCAGCTGGCATACAGCCCATTCCGAGTGGTTTAACTGGTTTTGACACGCTCGACCCCTCACAAACAGGAGCCACAAAACCCGCTTTGCACAGAATCCGCACTTCAAGATCCACAATCAACACCTGGGTAGATGAAGGTTGGTAAGGGATAGTCCCTACCGTGAAATGGGTGCAGCCACCTTATGATTTACCACGGTTTTCGGTAGACCCTTTAATACCTAGGTGTTTAGTGTGACTCAGTTGTGCATGTAGAGGCCTATTTCGACGCATGTTTGCATGTGAAGCACCTTCCCACGCTTTTCTTTGGAATTTGAAGAGACCCGCGAGGAAATAGGCGGCCGTTGTGTGATATACTTCCTCTCATGAAGATTGCATCCAATGGACCGTCCGCAAACCGAACACCTACATCCTCAAAGATTCACTTGCCGATTCCCAGCCGTCCGGAAACCCTTAGGTTTATAGTTGTTTTTGGTTGGCTTAGGTGGTTTCCATTTCACCCGCACGCCAAGCTTTTAGCAAGGGATCTGAGGACAGCAGATGATTCAGGGATATTCAGTGTTTCCGAGCCATTTACCCTTGAAAGGGAACCTCCCAAAAGAGGCGATCCAGCACAGTTCAGTTGGGCCCCCCCGTGCACGCTCGCCATGTTGTTGGCACTCTATTTTTTTCGGAAACCAAAGATCTGAAGTTCTCATCGATCGGGGCCGAACTTTGCCTCGGGAAGAAGGCAATGCTTTGGCATGTTGCGCTGGACATGATTGATTTTTTTGTGTTTCTGTGTGTGTGTGTTCATTTTTGTGGTGTCAGCGTTGGTGTTTGCGTGTGTGTGTGTGTGTGAATGTATGCATTGCTTGTGTATGCGCTCTGGCAATGGCGCATGTCAGACCAATTTCCTCAACAAACACGAAGTGAGCAACTCGCTCCACACCCGTTGAATATGCCAGCAGGAGGCTTTCGTGCAGAATCAACCGCATTTGTTGGTGCAATACCATCTAGGTCCCCCAGTAGTGCCCTTTTACCTTTTTGGGGGGAGGGTTCCCCTACTAAAATAGACAAAACAAAGTTGGTACCCTTATTCTAACCTCTCTACTGGAGGACCTAGCCATTGTTCTGACCTCTGGCAAGACATGGTTGCCACGCGTTGGGTTTCGCGCGGATGCTACAGGTCCTGGTGTGGGAAGTGAGCTGAGAGTGACGCCATTCGGCCGGGTTGATGGCGAGCAGCTTTGCCCATGGCGGTCTTGGAGGGCAACTTGTGCCTTCCAATTGTCTAAGATTGTTTTTTCCCCCTGTTGGTTTTAAGTGGAATCTATCACTACTAGAAATGCTTTTATTTATTTTCAGGAGGCTTAAGCAAATGGAAGATGCGCATCCTTTCAAGTTGTGAGTGCCCTCCAAATTGTTTTCCTGCTGTCATTGATGACTATGTTCTTTGAGGCATCGCAATTTGCAGTGTCAGAGCAGTACAGAAAATGGCCCCTTTGAAACCACGAAAAAGGGTACCCTGCAAACGCCAAGACTTCGGGAAAGGCCGCATTTGGCCTGGAAATGGATTCCTGTCTTTGCTTGGACTTGTGCTGGAAGGCGTTGGTGCCCACTTTTCTCGGAAGTGCAGTTGCGCTTGTCAGTGACACAGTCAAAACCAGTTGTGCTAGGAGAGGCCTTGCCTTGCCGTCAAGCGCCTCAAGTCCAGGCTTTGCTTAAACTTTGCTTAAGCAGATTCCCTGGCATGCGCGAGCGAGAGGCAAAAAGAACTGCTTCCTGGCCGCTCGGAGAGCAGTGGCTCTTGTGGAAGCCCCAAGGGCGTGCTGAGGTTCGACGCGCTCTCGGCCCAGGGGTCGATCGAAACATATCCCAACTTCTCGGCTCAGAAAGCTGCGAGTCGCACTCTTTGGCCAAATGAAAATTCTGCATTCTCAGGTCTGGTCTTTGGAGGTAATGCTGAACAGCACCGCCGGTATCAGCTTTTCTTTTTACCAGCTTTTTACCTGGTATGTCTCAAAAAAAATTGTATGCCTCCCTAGCTCCCTACGGCACACCTGAAGCTGCCTTGAACATAGGCGGCTCGTGGAGTCATTTGGCTAGTACATCAACTCTCGAGATTCACTCAGCCTGTGACACCCAAAGGAGTTCCTTGCGCTCATGTTCTAAGCCCAAGCTGTGAGTTGACACGTATCTTTGCACCGAGCATGAATTCTTAAAGGGGCATTGTACTTAGCAAGTGGTTAGTAAGGACAATGCTCCTTTTAGTTGGCAACCATGTGCACAAGGTTGCCATGTTTGATTGCGGGATCCCATCTTGGCATTCATTATTCAGTGCCGGAGGCTCCAGCGCAACTGCTCAACATGAAGTTATATTATCTCAATCAACTGTCGAGTGACCTCACCCATTGGTCGACAGGATTCCTGTGTGGCGTTGTCTTGTCATCCAATGTACACCCTTGTGGGGCGTCATTCTTCCACTGCAACTGGTGCAACTGGAATAGTTTCTCCCCCATGCCAAGGCTACTGTTCTCTATCTTACCTCTTAAAAACACAACTTTTCAACTTTTTGGGGGTAACATGGGCTCTATGTCTGTAAAAGATGAGAACTTCCCCAAGGCGCAGGGAGTTTTGAGGGGTAAGCTATGGAGATTCGATTGCTGCTTGAGTCAGTTCATTGGGAAAAGCTCGACTTCCTGAGTTCCTGGGCTTGAAACTCTTTTTGGGAAGCCGCATTTTAGTGGTAAACAACAAGTTGTTCGACTTCTTGTTGGCCAATCCACTCGATGAGTGAGAAGAAAGAAGACCGCACGGCGGTTCTTCCAGCGCGTTGCCTAGGTTTTCTGGTGCCCTTTCTCACCCTTTTTTGGTTTGGAGGGTTCCCCTACCAAAAAATACCACAAGAAAAAAAACCCTTTTTTGGTTGGGAGGGTTCCCCTACTAAAATAGACCACAAGGGGGGGGAAAAAAACGGAAAAAAGATACCCTTATTCTAAGCTACCTTCCCCATTCTTTCCAGGGATCCTTCTTTCTAGAAAACCTCCGGAAACCCAGGGAAACGGCCGGTTTTCGAAAAGAACGATGGCTGGAAAGACTGGAAAAGGAAGCAACCCTTAGACTTATACCAACCTCTCCACTGGAGCACCCAGTGGCCCAAAAGCTGCCCTTCAGATACGCCTCGGTTTCTTTTTGCCAGGTCGCCGCGAAGCACTCGCTGCCAGCGACCGCTGCGCACTGCGGCGATCTTCCAATGTTTCTTCCGGCCGAAGCAGAGCCCCAAAAGGTCTCTGGATAGATCTGAAGGCCTATTTCTTTGGCTTCCAGCCATCCGGTTCCGCCTTTTAGCCTTTTAGTGTTTAGTCTTCCGAATTTAACCCATTAAGATTTGGTCAAACATTTCGTGGGGGAGCCCGGTTTTGCGAAGGTGCCTGCTTGAAACTGGGTGTCACATGCTCAAAAAGAGGTGCCCCACAGGTCATTCCCCCCTTCACCCGGTAGTGGTTCAGCTTGGATGATTTGGCGATCTGCTTTCATCGTGATTTTGTGTAAGGGCTGGGTACTACTGAACCGAATGGTGATTTAGCGTTTTGCTTGAATCATTAGAAATCTCTGGAGAGGATCCCACTCGGCACGTTCGACGGAAGCCTGTGCAATGTTGGGATGCAGATACCAGAGATGCGTACTCTCAACGTGATAGTCATGACCCGTGTATGTATGTGTGCCTGGCGGAATTCCATTCCTGTCATTTGAAATCTCTTGATGTGCATTGCATACAACGTCACCATGCGTTGATGGCCGCTGTAGAACATAATTGGTGCACTTGTTGGTGGGTATTGTGTATACAGGCAAACCTAGCTTAAGCGTTGCAAGCTTCAACCCTTCTCGTTGAAAAGTCGCATTGTTTGCCAATGACCATGTCTTCTGACGTGCTCCACCCGCAATGCTTTCCTTTACAGTAGCTGCTTGGCTGCTTGGCCCAACAAAGCTCGCGCAGGCACTCCAAGCGCAGGAAGCAATGGCATATCGCCTTCTCAGACTGAAAGGCTAGGAGCAATGGTTTTGTATACACCTAGGTACACGTTCATGTTGGCAAGCAAGAACAGATGCGATTGTTTATCTTCACTGAAGCCATTGAGCCCTGATTTGCAGTTGCTGTCAACCAGAGTACCCCCAGACGCTTCCCGTCTCAGTTTCTTGTCGAGCTGCAGGTTAAACTGCCGTTTCAGCTGGCGCGACTGACATAGATGAGATCCTTGTGCATGTAGCTGCTTGATGTTGTGAGGATAGAGGATCCCAAATGGGTGTTTTTCTAGACATTCTCGGGGTACCTTCCGCATTGAAAGAAAATCCTGGTGATTGAAAAGAACGATGGTTGAAAAGAACGCTTGGACTCGACCCCTCGAGAAATGGTGCCTTTCGATTGATAGCCAAAAGGAAGGCTAGACAAAATGAAGCCGGAGCCCATCTCCGCTTGAATTTCGAGAAGCAGAACATGTCCCGGTGTCAACACAATCAAGACTCGGTGGCTCCCTCCGGTTCCTTAGGGATTAGTGGTTGAGTTTGGGAGTTTTACCCAGTCATTTTCAGGGGATTTGAACAAGGACAGCACAGAAGCAAATCAGTCTGCGAAGCTTTCCAGCTGCAGAACTTCAACGAAGCCATTTGAGTCAGCCATAGCTTATGGCGGTTGAAGTGGGCCCACTTTCGGAAGAGGCGCGGATTGATGGCGACGCAGCTCAGGTTGGATCTGTAAGGTAACCTGCTGGGGTGATAAGTAGGGAATGTGGTTAAATGAATCCAGGGAATCCCTCAAAGGAAACCACCATTTTGACGGTTTACAAGGGTCATTCCAACTCATTCACTGCTAAGCACAGGTTGACGTAGCCCTTGATTAGTGGTTTGGATTGGTGATGTTTGGGGATTTGACCCCCTGGTTCTTTTTGGGGTGATTTTGATGTCACTTGCAATGCTCCAAGAAAGTAATTCGCCATCCTCGCTCGGTGTTGCAAGAGTGTACGAGCGCCGAAGAGTCGGTACCCATACTGAGCCAATGTGTCAGCACCGCAGCAAGCACAGCGATGCTCAAGCACAGCGCTGCTCAAGCACAGCGATGCTCAAGCACAGCAATGCTCAAGCCAACTGTATAAACATATCAGCAGAAAACAGGAAACAACATATTGGCCCCAGTTGAAGTTGCTACACTTCAATGCTTATCAGGGTTGCCGCCCCATGAGGCGCTAGAAGATAGCGGCCCTTGCAGGAAATCCACTGCCATCGCTCAGTTTTTCCCTATTCAGTGGCTTGGATTGGCGGATTGGAGCTTAGGGGCTGGTTTCTTATGCTCAGCCTTATATGATAGTGCCTGAGTGACAGCGACCCCAAATAAAGTAAGCACGTATAAGGATCCTTACAAGCAGCTCTTCAAGGAGCCTCATAAAAGCTTTACAAGCATCTTTACAAGGAATTGCACAAGGAGCCTTACAAGGAGCCTTGAAGAAAGCTTCATAAGGAGTCGCGTAAGGAGCTTTACTCTTTACAGGGAGCTTTGTATAAGGAGAGCTTTTCAAGGAGTATAAGGAGCTTTGTCAGGAGCTTTCAAAGGAGCCTTATAAGGATCCTTATAAGCTTTTCAAGGAGCCTTCTACGGAGCTTTACAAGCATCTTTACAAGGAATTGCACAAGGGGCCTTCTAAGGAGCCTTAATAAAAGCTTCATAAGAAGCCGTGTAAGGAGCTTTATAGGGAGCCGTTAAAGAGCTTTATGAGGAGATCCATAAGAAGTCTTATAAGCAGCTTTACAAGTGAGCTTTAAAATGCTCAGAGACGGGGTATAAGGCCAACTCTGATGGCTGCGGGCTACTCCAATATTCACACACAGCCTGTATGTGTCCAAATGGAGTGAATCCTTGCTCTCCGTCGATCAGCAGAATAGTCGCCCTTCAGATAAGTAGAATTATTGACCTTGAGACATGGCCCTCCAGAGAACCAGAATAGTTGCCCCATATATGTATACATAATATATATATATAATACATACATATATATATATATATCAGCATGCCCTCCGTGGCTTCCGCTTCCGCGGGCTCGCATCCCGGAGAGGCGCTGCGGCGCAGCGGCCTGCGCAGCCTTTTTCAGCGTCTGCCCAAGGCGGCGCTGAGCTTCCCCAAGCGACCCAATGGCCCGCGCCCCAAAGGGCCAAAGGGCCCGGTGTGGCTGTTTGTTCTCTTGGTGCGATAGGGAGTGAGTTGGACCCAGGCTTTCCCTTGAAAGAAACCACCGGATGTTTGTTCGTCTTAGTTGTCCCTGATGGTTTGGTTGTGTTTTGGGTTGGTTTGTTGGTTTGTGGGTTTGTGGGTTGGTTTGTTCGTTTTAGTTAGTCACTTATGGTGGTGTTTGTTTTCGGTTGGTTCGTTGGTTTGTGGGTTTGTTTGTTCGTTTTGGTTGTCACTTATGGTGTTGGTTTTGTTTGGTTGGTCGGTTTGTCGGTTGGTTTGTTGGTTGGTTTTTGGTTTCTTGGTTTGTTGGCTGGTTTTTTGGTTTGTTGATTTGTTTATGTTTGTTGGTTTTGTTTGTTTTGTGTTGGTATGTTTGTTTTGTGTTGTTGTTTATTTGCGGGTATGGTGCTACTCTTAGTTGTGTTTGCGTGTTAGTGTGTTTGTGTTTGTTAGCTTGTTAGTTTTGTTCTTTCTGTTTGGCTATGAATTGTGTGTTGCTGTTTGTTGGCTACGAGTTTTAACAAAGAACCCCTGAACAGTGGTTGATACATACGAATTGCACCTAATGGTCCCCCAACTCAACATAATGCCTGTTGCCACTCTTTTGTAAGTTTGTTGGGTTGCTTCTTGGTCGTTGCTATGTTTTGGTTTGATAGCATGCTAGTTGTTCCTATAGTGTGTTTCTTAGTCTTTGTCGTCTTTGTTAGTCTTGACTAGTCTTTGCTAGTCTTTGTTAGTCTGGTGAGTTCTGCGAGTGTTTGTTGTTTCTTTTGAGAATCTGCGCATGTTTCTGTATGTTTGGGATTTTGGTGGGTTCCCTGCGGACAGGCACCATTTTTCTGTTTTTGCCACCGTGTTCCCTTCTTTTGGATTGAAAGGGTCCCTTTGTTTCAGCACACCTTTCAAAGAAAACGCACCTGATTTGTTTTTTCGCCCCAAAAGCAGCTTTCAGATTTAGCCCAAGAGCAAGGTGTTTTGACCATGGGGCCCAGAAACCCTTTGTCCTATGATGTCTTATAGCATCGAGAAGCCACAGGAGATCGCGTGGCATCCAAGATTTGCCATCTTCCGCTTCTTTTGCTCTTTTACACAAACGTCCAAGCGGCATATACACCTGGCAATAGTGTTTCCTTACTGCTGTGCCGGTGGTTTTCGTTGAGATGTTGTGGTTTCAGTGTTTGATGGTGATGCTTTTGGCTTTACCCTTCCGTGTGGTGTTGGCGTGTTGCCATTGATCTCCACACTGTTCAGTGCTTTGCTGGCGTGCCTTGCTCTGTATGCATTGTACACATGTGGTAAATGTAAGGATGTGCTCCCATTTCGCTGTGGCTGGTTTTTGTTGGTTCGGTTTTGTCTTGGGATGTTCTTTGTGAGCCGCTGTTTGTTTGATCTGCCTTTGCGTTGCATGTCGTGCTTCCTGCCGCGTGTGCTGCATGTGCCTGGGCCAGCTCGCAAGGATGGCTTAATTAGCGGCATACCCATGACGCCATGAACGGCCTTTGTTTGAATCTGTATGGCCAAGGGCTGTTGCTAGGTTTTGCTATTGCTATTACTATTGTTGTCGTCGTTGTGGTCACAGGCCGCCGTTGCAATTGCATTTGAGTTACGTTCTGGTAGGCGCATACGCCAATTGCCCTTGGCCGCAGGAGACGGATCTCCAAGCCCAAACGCCGTTGCAAACACATTGCCGCACAAAAACAGCAATGAATTATCATACTGTGTATGAACAAAATCCTGCAGATTGAAATCATGAGAACCCAGTGTTTGTTGGTATTTCCAGGGGAATCGTCATTCCAGGGATTCCGCGGGGGTGCAGGATTTCGTCCATCCATAGTATTACTTGGAAGGTGTTCACCTGCTTGAAACCTGATGAATCAGCAGGTGTGCCGTCTGCCGAACTTGTGCCCCAGCGCCCTAAGTTTCGGTCCAGAAATGAGGAGAGGCCACTGGCCAGAGCCACTGTTTGAACTTACGCTCAGTGCACATGAGCCACATAGCTTCGCACCCTCGGCCGCTGGCTTCGCACATTTGCTCGCCATTTCAGGCGTCAGTGTGGCCGGACTATGGGATAGATACACATGGCATTTGGGGAAGATATGTTGCCATCCGCTCTCCCCATACAAAAGGTAGCCACTCTGAGTCTGTGTAAAGCTAATGTAGGAGCCCGAATTGCGCTGTCATGATGGAGCTGCCAAGGCCGTACGGACCCCACACCTGGCTGATAAACAGCCCAACACCCAACCCAAGTAGAGTTGTGCTTGAAACACGGGCAAATATGCCACCAACTTTCGAACTGCTCAAGACATGGAGATCCTCACTTGGGATGTGGTGGTGTTTGATTGGCAGTCCTTAGACGTATCAGTGTATAATATATTTATATATACACAGTACATGTCCTTTGTATTGCATGGCCTTATCCGGACCATACCTTACCTTTCCTTACCATACATGCATGCATGCATGCATGCATACATAATCATACATACATACATACGTAATGTTCGCCTCTGATTAATAAATAGGCCCCCCCCCGAATGACCCTAAATAAAGTTAAGGGGAAAAATCAGGGTCGGGAAAAGTTTAGAATGTATTTAGTATTGGGCTCTGTTTTTGTTGGTTTTCGAATACTACTTTAGAATTGGGCCAATTCTAAAGTAGTATTGGGCATGTTGTTTTTCTTATTTTGCTTTGGGGGGAATACTAGTTTTTCATGAGGGTTTGCATGGGCTGGCATGCATTCTAGGAAGGATTGAGAAGGAAATTCATGAGGGTTTGCATGGGCTGGCATGCATTCAGGAGGGATTGATTCTGAGTCCAAATTTTGACTCAAATTTGTTAATTGTTCAGTGTTTTTTTTGTTTGGGGCGGGGGAAGTTTAGCTTTATTTAGGGGTAGTTTATTATTTGGTTTGGGAAAAAGTTAAGCTTAATTTAGGTGTAGTTTACTAATCGTAGGTGGACATTACACAAATATATGCATGCATCAAGTACCACCACTCGCTTTCTCCAAAGCACGACCTTAGGCTTGCCGCTGTTGCTGAAGGAAGGCTTCTTTGAGCGACTCCTTTCCGGTCAGATGCTGGGCTGCATGTCAAGCTAAGATTTGGAGTAACGTGGAGGCTGCGCTTTGGGAGGCCCATTTGGTGTCAGACATCCCCTTCACCTTGGCAAATATGTTTGGGCATCGCCAGAAGGACGCGCGATCATGCATGCAGAGCCAGGAGTCCTGCGCAAGGGGAGGGGGGAGGGGCACGGAGGCGTGGCCTCAGTATTTGCATTTGCCTCGTTGAGGGGGTTCTTCACCGTTGTTGGCATTTCAGTTTTTATTGTGGGTTCTGTTCTTTCTTAGCAGGAGGCTGAAAAACCGCGAGTTTTGCTCTCCCCACTGAGTTTTGGAGGTCAGTCAATTCGCAAGTTGGGGCCTCTTCACTTTTGCCAGGACAGCAAGGTAGCGCTTTGCTGCGAGTGTTTGATTCCACAAATGGCTTGGCCCATGTCAATACAAATCAATCGCCCCCCCGCCCCCACCCTCCCCCTTTTGAATCCAAGGAATCCGCTGAAACAAGTGGCTGCGATCAAACAGAAGTCCTGATCCTGATCTGGGCGCATCAAATGGGCATGGCTCAAAATAGGGCTCCCAGGTCCAATACGAATTGCTTTGGTTCCTTTGGTTCCCCCAAGAAAAACCAACCCCCGCCAGGGCACCCTCCAAAAGCACGCACCCAAATGAGGGTTTGGGCTCACAGGAAGTTGGGTTTCGTGTGCTCAAACAACATGTTTGACAGCCCTGGCAATTGTTTGTTAACAAATTGTAGTTGAATTGAGCGCGGTTGTGCGATATAGTTTGATGCTACTGCAGTTGTTATAATCGATGCTAGCAATGATATGACCGAACAGTTTGCTTGACCATATGTGAGTTTTAGCAACGACTTCGACAATTCTTTGGTGCATTTTGCTTGGATGTTAGGACTTTAACTTTTTGCCAACTAATAGGTTTTCCACTACCACTCAAAGTTAAACTTTTAGCAGGGGAGCAGAAAGCAAGCGAGAATTCATGGTGCCAACATCAAATAAGCCACGCGCAGTGTGCACACACTACTAGTTGCCCTCCCAGCGACATGCAACCTGGAGATCCAGGGCTTGCTTGGCAGAAGCGCAAAGAAGCCCAAGAGCAAGGTTCCTCAGAAGCAGACATCTCCACGCACACTCTTATTTGTTTTCTCTGTGGGCTGTTTGGTTGGTGGTTGGTTTCTTGGCTTGCTCGGCTTGCTCGGCTTGCTTGGCTGATGGGGTGGTTGGCTGGCTGGCTTTTGGGTCGCGTGGCTGAGGACATCGCTGAACAGCTTTCCTGCCTCAGACGTCTCAGCGGCGCAGGCCCCGCAATCTGCCGACTGTTTTGGTTGTGTGTGTGTGTGTCGCTTTTGTTTGGATCCAAGAACCACATCACGAAAGCTAGCTTTAGCTAGCTGAAGTTTCTCCTTGCGTAAGCAAGGTAAGGGGCTCAAATGCCGAAAGATTGATTTTTTCAATTATTTGAGCCGAAAAGATTGAAAAACATCAATCATTTAGACCCCCCCCCCCTCCCCCCCCCCCCGGTCTCAGGCTCGATTCCTCCCTGGTCCATCCCCCCCCCCGGGCAGTGGCTCAGTGTTCAGCAGTCTCGGTTTGCCCGTTTTGGACTTGGTGCTACGAACTTTTACATGTTCCACCGATTCAGCTTGTTCATTTGAGACCTCAGTCTTCTCGGTAAACCACCTCGCAAGAATCTTTGCACACGCAGCATGCAGAACCCAGAGGTGCTTTAAGACAGCTTCTGACGCCTCTCGTTGTTTTCATTTTTCAAGGTTTGCCACGCCACCATGTGCGTTTGCGTGTCGCATCCTACGAATCTTGCCGGGCCTCTGGTTGTACACAAGCTACCTATGAATCCACTCTTTCACCGACCCATCTCACGCAACAACTGCTAGCTTTCGTTCACCCGCTCCTCAAGTCCATTATGTTGTTATTGATTTGTTTTTTATTGTTTTGTTATTGTTATCCGTTCTGTTGATGTATTTGGCTTGATTTGTCTGATTGTTTTTTGTTGTTGTTTGTTGTTTGTGGTTGTTGTCATCATCGTCATCGTCGTCGTGGTTTTGGTCGTTGTCGTTGTCGTTGCTGGCGCTGCTGCTGCCGCCGCCGCCGCCGCTGCTGCTGCTGCTGCTGCTGCTGCTGCTGTTCTTGCTGTGGCCATTGTCGCTGTTGCCGTCGTTGCTCTGGAAATTGCAAGCAACTCAAAGCTTGGTGGTGAAAGGTCAATCCTGCTCGGGGCTGGGCTGCGCAGAAGCCCAGCACAGCAAGCTGATCCTCACTTCCATGAGTCAAGGGAGAGCACGTCCATTCAGAACAATGTTAACAAGAACAATATCAACAACCACGACCACACATCAACAGCAGCAGCAGCAACAACAACGGCAGCCAACAGGCCAATAGCCAACAGATAGCAGACAACAGGCAACAGTGAGCAAGCAAGAAACGCCAAGCAACAATCAAGGCTGAGCCAGTAGCTAGAAACAAGCATGCAGACAGACAACAAACAGACAATCAATGAGAGAGACACACCCACAAAAAGCCAACAGAAAAAGAACAAACGGACAAACAAGCAATCAATCAAGCAAATATAAAGGTCATAATGAAAGGGAGAAGTAGACAAACAAAGCACATAAGTTATGAAACAAGGACAACTGATAGATAAAAACAAAAATAACAAGTGAATACATAACACAATAACGAAAGAAACAACAAATCAAGAACTCCTAAACAAAGAAATAATCAGAGAGACACAGAAACAGATAGCCAAAGTCACCATCAAACAAACAAGCACGCAATCAAGAAGCAATAAACTCGCAATCAAACAAACAAAGAAGCAAACAAACAGAGAAGCAGAGAAGCAGATGGGTATGGGTCACATTGTTTCAGCACCACGATATGGACCGCAGGTTTTAGTCCTTGGTTTCATTAGGGTTCCAAAATGGATGCCCATTTTTGACCGGCCAGAGAAACACTTGCGCAACTTCCCTATCCCAAGTCGCCAGCGTGGCAGGGGGACTTGAAGCACTTGAGCTTCGAGCAGCTCCTTCTGATTTGCCAAGGCGGGGCCAAGGGCCAAGGGGTTCTGAGCTTCTGAGCCAGTGTTTTTTTGGTTCATTTCTTCTTCTTTTTTATGGAGCTGATACGGCTTGGGGCGAAGGGGACTATTGAGGTTTATGTGGTGTATGATACTGTAGGTGGTTGCTTTAGTGTCGGCTTGGGGGTTTCCTTTTGGCTGATCTGAGGACAGCCCAGGTTATTCAGGCTCCAAACTTGGGAACTCGATCGTTTCAATGGAAACCACCGGTAAGTTGGCTGGTCACAAATAGGTACTCAAAATGGGGTGCCGTGGTAAATTTTGGCCAAGGACGAAGTAAAACCTGCGGTCCACATCCTGGCGGCTGATTTTTTTGACCCAGTTGATGAACCTTTGACTTGGGGAAGTCCAGTGACCCCACAGGGGGCCAGGAGCTCGCTGTCTCGAAGCTCGGCTGTTGGGCTGTTTGAAAGGGATGCAAGGCTCGAAGCGGTCAGAGAAGTCCTATGTTCGTCGCCAAGTGGTGATCGCTTGGGGTATGACCCACTTACAACAACTTACCTCTTAAAACCACAAAACTTTTCTCAACTTTTTGGGGGTAACATGGGCTATATGTCTGTAAAAGGTTAACTTCCCCAATCCTTGGAGTTTTAAGGGGTAAGACAAGGTTAACCCCACTGAACGGGGGAAACTCATAAGAGGTTTTTGAACGCAGGTGGCTACCGAAACACAACTTAGTGACTTGGCGAATCGAACAGTCAAGTAGTTTGACACACTACATCCGCCAGTTCAACCACTGCTACACTGGGCCACATGTTCTACAAATGCAGGGACCAGAAGGCTTTCAACTTGTTTGACCTCAAGCACTCGGTCATCAGTAGGTGGAAAAACCCAACGGTGGGACCGCACACTGGATTTATCGAGAGTGCATGCTTTTGACTGGAATACCAGCTGAAGATAGAGCGTGGAGACTGAAGTTACCGTATATGGGTGTGTCAGTTGTGAGGGAACCCAACAACGGAGGCTTTCAAGTGTGGTTTCCCTTTAAAAACCAACCAAAACGGGGTACCGCCCAAAAAAAGACGCACTCAAAACAGAGTGACATTCACGCACGCCTTGGTACCGGCCGGTGCAAAATGTGCATTGTCAGTGGCTATCAAGCTCTCCAGCTGGAAGCTTTAAGGATCTGTCGCCGTCGCTGTGGCAACGCATGCCCACGCGCTCGGCCTTCGTTTCACCAACCGCCAGAGAATCCCAAAAGGTGAGCTGAGGCAACATGCAGATCCGCAATGCGGCGCATGGGTGGCACAGCCAGCACGGATTGTGCAACGGACCTGATTCCAATAGACGGTCGTGCCTTGGCACTCAGTTGGAAAGTGTACAGAATGACACGAGTTCCATCAATAGGAGCCAAAGATGTATATGCAACTGACTGTTGGTCAAACGCACTGTCATGTGTCCGCGGGAAAAACTAAAAGGCTAGGAGCAAAAACAAATAACGACAGCGGCCATGGCAAGACTGCAGTCGAAAAAGAACACTCCTAGCAGGCTGCGTGTTCTATAAGTTGTCTGTCATTACTAACCTTGTGTGCATCATGACCAGGACATCTTCGGCATGCTACCCGAAAATCTCGCAATGTAATAACTAAACAAAATAACACCCCGCAGGCCTGGTTCCTACCACTGATTCTGTCCAACTTGTTTGTGATGTTCCTTTGATTTGGATACCTTGATTTGCAAGTGAAGGAGAGAGCCAAGCTCGATGTTCCCTGCAAGAAGCGCTCTAAGACGAACCACCAATTTAGCCCCAAGAAGAATTGGCAAGGTACAATGTGATCGATTCCCTTTAAACCCAAGTAGGGAAGCTAAAAATACGTGGTTCCTTTAAATCCTCGGCTTTAAAACTAGGGAAACACAAAAAAGATATGAGTTTTCAGTCTACAAGCGGATGCGATTCCCTTTTAAACCAGGAAAAATCAGAAACACAAAAAAGAGAAAAAAACACGAGTTTCAGGGAAAAAACGGATGTCCCCGGTCGACCTCGGAAAAAAGAAAAAAGAAAAAGGAAGAAGAGCAAAAACGACGGGGATTTCTCGCGTGCAGGGGACCCGCCGAGTCTTGCCGGGCCTTTGGCGGCCTTCTGGGCCAGCGCCGCGCGGGCCCCGGGCCCCGGGAGAAAAAGCGGAGATGGCTCCCAGCGCTTCACGGTGAGGGTTTCTTTAACTTACCTCTTAAAAAGGTATTGGGGGTAAGTTTGGGGGTAACATGGGCTGTATGTTTCTTTAACTTACCCCCAACTTTTCTCAACTTTTTGGGGGTAACATGGGCTGTCTGTCTGTAAAAGATGAGAACTTCCCCAGGGCTTGGAGTTTTAAGGGGGAGAACCGTTTTCTTTTTTTCTGCAATTCGCGCACCCTCTGGAGACCGGGCTTGAAAACACAAAATCAAATTCCAACATTAGGTGCCCTACCTGATTTCATTGGGGATATAGTAAAGCCTATAGAAACTTTACCACTTTCGTAGAACCAGCACATTTAGCCCAAAAGTAAACTTTTAGCCGGGGATCTGAGGACAGCCCAGATGCTATTGGCTAACGGATCTTTAGACTTTCATCACTTTTTGAGAAATCATTTGGGGTTTTCCACTAAACCCCCAAAAAGGTTAAACACTTTTTGCAGGGGGTTCAACAGCAACCTGAGCGGTGGTGCGCCCCAAAAGGGAGGAAAACGGTGGTGTGCGCCCCAGAGAGGAAAGATCCTTCTTAAGCCTCTTGTTGGAAAAGTAGAAATAGCCCTTGACCCGGAAAGATTTGAGAAAGACACGCGTAGACTTCTGACAACCTTTAGCCTTCTTAAGCCTCTGAACAAAAGGGAGGAAAGATGTTGGAGGAAACATGGACAATTTAGCCGTCGTAGTTGCGTAGTGGTGATTTGCGTAACTGGTCCTGGTTGCAATAAAAACTTTAGGGATGTCCACCCAGAGTCCCGTCACCTAAAATCCATAACCTCCTTCTTTCGAGTGCTCGACGGCGAGCGCAAGGGAAGCTGAAGACTCTGTGGATGCAGACTGCGAAGTTGGAAACTGCATTGAAATCTCCGTTGAAATGAACAGAGGCTGAGCCGTTGCTGTTCCTGGGTCCCTCAGTAGTGCCTTTTTTACACTGTTTTGGTTGGGAGGGTTCCCCTACTAAAAGCGACTACAAAAAAAGATCGGTACCCTTATTCTAACCTCTCAAATCTGGAGGACCTAGGTTCTTGTTTTTTTGGTTTGTTTGGTTGATTGGTTCTGTTCCTGTTTGGAGACGGGAAGTGTTGGGTGCCTGGCGCATGCCGTCACCGAAATGCAGCGGTGATATTCTGCCATTTGCTTCAAAATATGTTTGTATTTTCTCTTTCTTGGTTTTAAAGGGAAACTATCACTACTGATTTTGTTTTCTCCAGGGGGCTTAAGGAATTGGAAGTATTGGAGAGGTCTTTGGAGCACGCCGGCTGACACGCATGGCGAGCTCCACGAAACATAGAGGGAGCAAGTTAAGATCTAAGACGCGACACACAAACATTCAACCAGACACACAAACAAACCAACAAACAAGGACATAAACACAACATCACAGAATCGCACAAGTGTCCAAACACACAAACCCAGGCAAACACGCAAGCGCAAAAGCGTGAGGGATCACCCTTAAGCATTGCTTTGCATTTGTTTTCCCACATGTATTGGCCTGCATTCACCTAGTGATGAGCATGAGCACAACCTACAACCGTCTCAACTCTTGCGTCCCTTTGTGATTTGAACGCATTTGGGTTTGTCTCAAAGCAACAAAATAGGAGTGCCCCAAACGGTTGGTATCCTCTTGATGGCCTCTGAAAACCTCTAAAGCCTTACCCCCGCCCCCCCCCGCCATCAAGGCTCAGTTGGTATCCCCAACAGCCGCGAACCCCCCTGGAACCCTCCGGAAATCTTGGTGGTCCCGTGTACCACCAACAATTCACAAACGGGGGTCCACCATGTGTTTTTTTTTTAGAGTTGGTATCCCGTGTTGGTTGGTTTTAAAGGATAATCATTGTCCTATGTTGGGGTCCCGGTCCGATTCCCAAAATAAGGAACCACACCAATATGGATGTGTTATCACAGCTTTGTCTCCATTTGACTTGAACTAGGGTTATGATTTTGACTCTGCCCAAGCGTTGTCAAAGCCTTTGTTGCCGGCTCTGATTCCTGAAAAGGAGGACACAGCATGCTGGCAAGGGTTTAGGTTTTTGTTTGGCTCGGTTCACTTTTTAGTAGGTTTTAGGTAACGCGCTCTTTTGTGCGCAAAATGACAGAGTTGAGGGGCGGTCGATTGGGAACGCGGTACCTTTTAGCAGGGATCAGCAAAAACAGGCCAGTTGTCGCTGCCTTTCTGTGACACATACCGCTTGGGTGAGGAAAAAACATCTCCGATGCCAGGAGTCGCTGCTCTATGAGCGGCTGTCGGCGCGGCTGGGCAAAACCGCTGAGGCGCGGGGTAGCTTTCAGGGAATATGCTGACATATGTATATATATATATATATGTATAATTATTGATTTATTTATTGAGCTGTTTACTAATTTATTTAAATATGCTTTATTTGTGTATTTATGTAGTTATGATTATATGTATTTGTTTGGTTATTCATTTATGTACGTAGTTGTTTTATTCACGTATCTATGTATTTATATTTATATATATATATGTACTTATTTTCTTATTTACTTATGTTTTGTTTATGTATGTATACGTATAGATGCATGTGCATATGTATCTACATACATATATGTATATACATACATGTATGTATATACATACATATATGTATATACACACATACATACATACATACATACATACATACATACATACAAACATACAAACATACATACCTACATGAATGCATGCATGCATACATACATACATACATACATACATACATACATACATACATACATACATATGTACATACATATGTCCATATGTACATACTACATACATGCATATATATATACACACACATGGGATCCTAAAGTATATTGTGTTTTTTGTCGGTTTCCCCTTGCCATCCTAAAAGTGACTTATTTTGAAAACTCCCGTGGCCGAATGAGGCGTGAGGTTGCCAGTCATTCTCTCGATCTCTGCAGCCACATGTTGCCAACCTATGCGTGTGCCAATGTCTACAGGGTGCAGTGAACCAGGCGCAAGGGCTCCAGATAGTCTTACATGAGATACAGAAATTCACATCGCTTCGATCTGTCTTGATCTTGGCAGCTCCCAGCCGTTCGACTTGTTTTGCGAATTGTTTTGCATGTTTTGCGTGAGTAGATTTATGCCACATTCCACGTGTCTAACTTTCAAGGGATCGGCAACTACGAAAAAACAGACTTTGAAAAGGGTACCCCTCCCTCGAATGGAAGCTGACAGAAATGTTGTAGCACGACCTTTTGAATTGGAAAGAGGATAACCCGGAAACAACTATAGCAAATGTGTATATATATATATATACACCATTTGGGTGTGTTCGTTTTTAAGGATACCCATTTTGGATGGATTTTTGTCAGAAAGCCAAAGGGAACACTGAGCACCGTCATGGTGGGGTCCGGTCCAATTCCTGAAAGGAACCACAGCCCTTCCATCGGCGGAAATGAGGATGTTTCTTTCTTCCCCGGGGTTTCACAGGGAATCAACCACTATTGGACTTGTGTTTCCATTGTTTTCCAGGGGGCGAAAAAGCACCACCAACAAATGGGATGTCACCATGTTTGCAGTGTTTTGGTCGGAGTTTGTAATTACCCCCTTTTTGGTTAGGAAATTCCCACGGAAATAAGAACACATGTCCAATAGTTTTAGATTCCCGGGAAAATAGGAAACATCTTCATTTCCTGTGGTTCCTGTTAGGAATCGGACCGGACCACAACATGGCTTTTCTTTGTTTGGAGGGGGCTGACCCCTGGAATTCCATTTGTGGTTCCATTTCCCCTTTTGTGGGGAAGGCTAGATAAATGGAATGGGGGACCCCCCACCCCCTTCCCCTTAAGGTAGCGGGGATGTGGAAGATATGGCCATGGGTCAAAAGCCAAACCGCACCCCCAGTGAACATCCCAATCCCTACTAAAATCCTGACGAAAATGGGTGGTGAATTCACCAATCCCAAAATTTGGGATCCGATTCTCATTGGCACCTTGGAGTCCAAGTCTTCGCCTTGTGCGTCAACGCGCGCAGTTCAGCTGCCGCGTTCAGCGCTTCCCGCAGGAGGCGCAGCTGGTGCCGCTGATCTACGGGGCGCTGCAGCACGTGAGCGCTTTGCCTCCGGCGGAGCACTGGCTTCTGAAGGCTGGAGAGGGACCCGGGCCCCGGGGAAGGACCGGGGAAGGAAAGGTGACAGACCCAGAGCCACGGCGTTTTTTTTTGGGGGGGTTTTATTCTCTATGTTTATGTGTTTGTTCTTTTTGTTTGGTGCGGGTTGGTTTGTTTTTTTTGTTTTGTTTTTGTTTTGTTTGTTGTTTCCCCCCCTTTTCCGGGTGTAGACTTACTTCCCGGGTTCACAGACTTGTTTAATCCTTTTGTGGGGTTGGATAAATAGTAGTTGTGTTCCATTTGCTGAAATGAATATATGGTTTTTGTTTCCCCTGGTTTCAAACGGACTCTATCACTAGTGGATCTATCTTATTTTTTCAAGGGGGCGCATAGCAAACGAAAGTCCCATGTGTTTCCAGGTGCGACTCAATTACTTCCTAAGGTGGACGCTTTATATATGTGTTAGGAAATTTTAGTGGCACACAAATATTTTGGTTACTTTTTTCGGGGCCCCTCCACTGAGAAAGTGCTTAAGGGCTGTCTGAATTCTCGACACCCGGTGATTTGCTTCCTGCGTTCTTTGTTGGAGAGGTTCTTTCTTTAAGACAGACCAACAACAAGAGTGCCCCTTTTTCTCCAGCGCTGGAGGGTTTGGGTGGTACCAAAGAGAAGCCCAGCCACGTCAGAACGCGAGAAATCCGGCTTTGTGGGATCTGGCGCGTCTTTTGAGGATACCCCTTTTGGAGTGGCGTTTTCCCGAATCCTACAGGAAGCCACACTGCCTCCGATGCCGTGGCTTTCCAGAAGCAAGCTGGACAGAATGGGGACATGGAAGGTACCCCAGGAGAAATGGGGGGATTGGGGTGATTGGGGTACTGAAAGCCCAAAAGTCATGCCCATGGGAGACTAAGGCTATGGTCATTGTGATGTGGGTAGCTTGAAGGGGTTTGCACAAAGGTGTCTCCAAAGAAAAGGTTACTTGGTGGTTCTCAGCCTTCCCCTTAGGCGTTCAGTTTTTGGTTGGGTTTAGTGGTTGGGTTCGCATGTAAACAAACAAGTTGATTTGTTAGCCGCCGATTTGAGGACTTTCAGGGTTGACTACCTCTTTCCCATGTTGCGGCACCTGAAGCAGGCTGGAGCAAATTGATCTTCGACTCTGGTTCCATGGCACCGTGGACAGGAGCCTACGTCCCCCAGCTGGGTGCTCTGTTGCCTTTTTTTTGTTTGGGAGGGTTCCCCTACTAAAATAGACTACAGTGAAAAGGGTACCCTTATTCTAACCTCTCTACTGGAGGGCCCAGGAGGGTAAGTTTGAAGAATCGGACTTGGCTTGTTTAGGCTGTGTTTGATCGGTTGCAAGGATGCAGAGCCCCGTGATGCCCGTAGGGTTTACTTCCAAAGAATTCCGCATAAGGAACAGGTCTGAGGAACCACAAGAAGAACTACCCAAAGAACCACAAGAACATCCCCGCCCCGTCAAAGGTGGAATTGGGGGAGGGGGGTGACCTTTGGAAGTCCATTTGTGGTCCCACTTTCCCTTTTTGGGGGACACGAAATCTAGTTCCCCCAGTAGCGCCCTTTCTCACCTTTTTTTGGGGGAGGGTTCCCCTACCAAAATAGACGTCCAGCAAACAACTCGGGTACCAACTTGTTCTCACCTCTCAAATCTGGAGGACCTAGAAATGCATGACACTGGGTCCCAGACCCCCCAGCCCCCTCCCCCCTCTATCGACTCAGGGCGCGCTGCTCTTCCTGCCCAGCTGCGAGGTGAAGCCCTTGGAGGAAACTGCGGCCTACTGCCACAGCAACCTCATGAAGGCCAGGTCTTCTTTGGGGCATTTTGCTACTGGAGTTTCTCACTACTGGAAAAAAGCAACAGTCTGCAAAATTGCAGCCCAAAGAATGGGTCTGTCTTTTCTTTGGTGCATTTTGCCAGCGGATGTTAGGACTTTCTTTTTTCGCCAACTCATGGGTTTTCCGTATTAAGCCACCAAGAGTTAGTCACTTTTAGCTTCGCAGATTTCGCCACCGAGTCTCGGCACAGCTTCCATTTACCTTAAGACTAGTGTTTGTCTTCCCTTGTTGTTTTTAAAGGGAATCGATCCTTTTCGGGGGGCTTAAGATGGAAGGCATGTTTGTTGAGGTGAAGCAGGGCCCAATAAAGCTGACACGGTTCTACGTTTGCCATGCAAGCGCTGTCACATGACCATGGTTCGGCTCTTCGATCCCAAAACGATGTTCTATTTTGGGATAGAAAAAACATGAAACAGGAGCAGCACATCGTACAATTTCTGTGTACCCTTTTTTGTGGGCCAAGCACAGTAGGAACCGCTGTTTTGTTTTCACTACCCCTGGCTGGGGCCTAACCAGTCAGCGTGGCTGGCTGGCTGGCTGGCTGGCTGGCTGGCTGGCTGGCTGGCTGGCTGGCTGGCTGGCTGGCTGGCTGGCTGGCTGGCTGGTTGGTTGGTTGGTTGGTTGGTTGGTTGGTTGGTTGGTTGGTTGGTTGGTTGGTTGGTTGGTTGGTTGGTTCCTTCCTTCCTTCCTTCGTTCGTGGTTGCTCGGGTGGTCGGGTGGTCGGGTGGTCGGGTGGTCGGGTGGTCGGGTGGTCGGGTGGTCGGGTGGTGGGTGGGTGGGTGGGTGGGTGGGTGGGTGGGTGGGTGGGTGGGTGGGTGGGTGGGTGGGTGGGTGGGTGGGTGGGTGGGTGGGTGGGTGGTGGGTGGGTGGGTGGGTGGGGTGGGGTGGGTGGGTGGGTGGGTGGGTGGGTGGGTGGGTGGGTGGGTGGGTGGGTGGGTGGGTGGGTGGGTGGGTGGGTGGGTGGGTGGGTGGTTGGCTGCATCCCAAGCATCCCCGGTTACTTGGTCAGCTTACCCTTGATGCTTTAGATAGACGGCCCGAGCCAGGCCTTTTTGAAACGTTCGGATCTGGTTGTCATGGTCCCAGGCGAATCCTCCCGCTGAAAGGATAGGCTCACTGCTCTGAACTCTGCTACTGAGACAAAACAAGTCAGGCTGCCCTTCAGATTGAGAGACTTGGGTGTCTCGTGTTGATGTTACCTTTGTGTGGGTTGATTTAAAAGGAAACCAAAGGGAAGCTCACTATTTTTTTTGGGGGGGGGTCTCCTAAAATCATCCCGGCAAGAGACACCCAGCCTGTGGGCATGTCTTTTTTGGAGGATACCCATTTTCAATTTGAGAGAGGGACGTCAGCTGGGACACCACCCCAGTTTGAGATGCCCGTATTTGAGATGTCCCCATGTGGGTGTGTGTTCAAAGTGTTGCCTGCATGAGCAACCATAAGCCTTCACTGGACGGGAGGGTGTTCTAGATGTTCTAGCAACCAACCGAGCGGGATTGAGGATAGCTGGACTTCCAATCAACTTTGACAGGATGTAGCTGCTACTGTGGATGGACGAATTCCTGCACCACTTTGAAACCATGGGAAACCATTGTTGGTATTTACAGGGGAATCCTCATTCTAGGGTTTCTTGGGTGGTGCGAACTGGATTTCGTCCATCCACAGTATGAGTACCCTAGTGTAATGTCTCAACATAGAAGCTGGCCCGGTGCTATTTTGCAAGCCAGCTGGACTTTCAGCTCTCCTTTCCCACATCCAAAGCGTCTTACTGGATCCATTTACCAGTCAGTATAAGTAGATAACCAAGGGAACCACCCTTTAAGACCAAGAGGAAAATAGCTGGTTACCTACTATAAGGGCAACTAGGATCCACTGGGAGTAATATGAACTGCTGTTCTGAACGGCCCTCGAGTCCAGCAGAAACGCTGTCCTGAACGGCCCATATGCCAGGCCAGCAACGTCGCGAAGGAGCGGAAAAAGCTCCACTGGGAGGCACCGTTTTTGCTGATCGCAGAGAATGGGCGCGCGATTGCGTAAAGATGAAGCCCAGGGCGTGTCTTTGTGTTAAAGGTCAAGTTGTTTTCAACGTAAGGGCATCATCCTTCTTCCGACTTGCGTATTTGTTGCGCCGTACATGCAACACGTCTACTTGGCTCCGGTGTGCAGAGCACCCAAGTTCAAAGGTTCAGTCAGCATTGAACGAATTTCTCCGTGATACTGGCCAACTGTTTTCTCCGTGCCCACGGACAGGCCGCTTTCGCAGTCAGTGAAATTGGTGAGGTGTCGTTTTGGGATTTGGACCCCCCCCAAAAAAAACGCAGCGGTGTATCTTTGTTTCCCTTTCAACCACCCGCATGTGTGCTATGTGCGTGGATTTGTATGCAACGCCATTCCGTGCACGGGAAGGTGACAGCCGACGCACTCGAATTATCTCTGAGCCGCTCTGACAATGGCTTTAAACTCGGAATCAGAAAACCAGACTGTCATATGGCTGTGGCCCAACAAGGTGCCAAAATGGCACCAAAAGGAAATTGGAACTAAAAACTAAGACTTGCGGTTTGCCCTAGCTCTTCAATTTTGATCACCCATGTTTCCAGCCCCCATCAAGGAAATGGTTCAATAAAGAATATTTAGCATCAAACAGAAGCCCCAGCTCAGAAAGCTTCTAGAATCTTCACCTTTGTCATATAGCGAAGCACAGTTTACTCAATCATTCCAGGAGAGATCATGGATTTTTGTTATTTTGTTTAATGCAGCCACCCCCTGGTGCCGTTGAAGAGCATTCCATCCGCCCCGGTTTGGGTTCACTTTTTGCTGTTGTGGCGATTGTGGAAGCCCACTTTTGGGGTTTATGTTTGATAATCCTGAGTATTCTTTCGATTGTGGGTGGCTTGTCGTTTTTTGGAGTTGGTACCCCTGCTTGGTGAGTTTAAGGGGAAATCCACAGTTGGAGCATCTTTTTTAGCATCCAGCCGTGGATTCCTTCGCATTTCTCGCACTCTGGCTGTAGCTTTCTCCCACGCATGGACAAAAAGGGCAAGCGGACCGGCCAGGTGCAGCATTGCGAGAACCCGAAGGACTTCAAGGACGGATGGGCTCAAGAGTTGGTTCGAGCGCAGAACCGCCGAAAGGTCAACCCGAAGTTGTCCTTGTTGAAAGCTTGGCGGTTCCCAGCCGTCCTATGTGTTGAATGGTTTTTCGGTGTTTGGTAGGTTTAGTAGGGTTGGCGTCCTAGGTGTTGAATGGTTTTGAGGTGTTGGTTGGTTTAGGGGGGGTTGCCGTTCTGTTTTTTTTTGTCCATTGCGTTCAGGTTGTTGGTGGGTTTAGTGCTTGGGTGTCCATGTAGTTAAACATTTTTAGCAAGGCCCAGGAAAGGGCAACCACGAGCAAACCATATTTCTATGGGTACCTTCCATTTCCATTCTTTCCAGGGATCCGAATCTTTCTAGAAGCCACCAAAAACCCTGGGGAAATGGCGATCGGTTTTCGAAAAGAACGAGGGCTGAAAAGAATGGAAATGGAATCAACCTCTAGAATATTTAGGATCCTCGACTTCAGAAACACCTCTTTACACCCACGCCATTTTTCATGAAAAGCTCCGCAAGTTTGTGGGGGACGGGGGTCATGAATCCGCAAACTGTGGTGTCCAGCAAGAGGCCCGAATTGGGCATGGGTCAAATTGTTAACTATTGGCCATGGGTATGGGTCAAACTGGGTATGAGTCAAATAGGGTATGGGCATTGGCCATGTTTCCACTTACCAGGCTTCCATCTTGGGCAACTCTTTTTGACCCAGCCAATTTACCAGATCATGCCCAAATGAACCTCTGACTCGGAGGCGAGGTCGAAGCACCATGTGCAAGAGCATAGGTCTTGCTGCTTCCTGCACCGGCCCAGAAGGCTATGCCTGGTACCTGTCTTGTCCTGCATAGCTCAGGCCGGTGGAATGTGGTTTGGCCATGCGCCAGCGCTCGCGCAGGTGAGCGGTAGAATCCTGAGGCCACTTCGGGGGGGCGTTCCACTGTCTTTGTTAAGGGAGCCCTTTTTTAAAAAGTGTTTTTTGGCTGGTTCAAAGGAAAACGTCTCTGCGAATCACATAGGATCTTGATTGTGCGTGCTGTTGGCTTCGTCGCAGCAAACTTCTAGCCTGAACACCCACATGCAGGTAGGCCATGCCAAGCTTGTGCTTGAACCAATGAACAGCATAGATGTGAGGTCGCGGGAAGTATGGTTCGACTTGAGCCTTTTTCGGTGATAGGTCCTTAAGTTTGCAAAGGCGGCCAGCAAACGTTTTCAGACCTGAAAATCAAATAGCTCTCAGGAGCGACAAGCAGATCGTGCAACTGGGCCGAGGCAAAGACTTCGGGTGGGATGAGATCGGATGAAAACGAATGTGGGTGGCTCGTCGTTTTTTGAGCTGGTAGCCCCTGTTTGGTGGATTTAAAGGGAAGCCCAAAGGAGAACCGTTGCGCCAGTTTGGGCGCTCCTGATCCATTTGACTTGGACTCGTTTGACGGTTTCCACGCGCGATCTAGGCTCGGGTTATCAAAGCCAGCTGGGGTTGCTTCTCCTTAACATACCACTTGGGGGTGACTTTGATGATAGTTAAAGCTTCAGTGTGCTTTTATGTTTTGTTCCCCCCTGTTGGTTTTAAAGGGATTCTATCGCTGGAAAGACGTTTTTTCCAGGGAGCTTAAGGAAATCTGGGTGAATTCTATCGACCTCACACGACCTCACCCTGAATGGTGGTTTATAAATATGGGGAATCGCCCCCAAACCACCTTATTTCAGGCTGGTGAAATATCATAGTTCACCCAGATGAATGGACGCTTCCTAGATAGCCAAGTTGCTGCTTTGTTCTGTCACTGTTGCTGGCTTTTGGGGTAAAGTGCATGGAAAAAAATCGCAACTGGCGATCCAGGTTGTATTTTTTTCCAGGGGGCTTAAGGAAATGGAGGTCGAGCAACGACCTCGGCCCGTCGACTCGTCGAGGCGCTCTTCCGCGAAGGGATACCCGGCGCCGGCTCCGAAGCCAGCGGCGAAAGCTGTCGCCTCAGCTGAAACCGCTCGCAGGAGCTTAGCAACCCAAACCCACCAGAGTGAAAGTAGCTAACCAGCTAAAGACTTCTTGTATATAAACCCTTTTGCTGACCTACTTCTTGACAAAACCTGGCACTTCCCTCCCCCAATAAGAACCCCAGAATGCTGGAATCTTTGTCGATGACCCTCTTAACAATGGAAGTGGACGTTTTTGGGCCCAAAAGGACCGTCTTTCAGAATCCTCCAATCGTCAGCTTCCAACAAGGGGTCACTTCATGTCACTTCGGGAGGCGCTATGATAGAACATAAGCAGGACCAGTTGCCTTATGGGTGAGGCGATGCAATCTTGAGGCAAGCTCGTGCAGAAGCCAACCATGTTGGTTCCAGACCACTCTGGCCCGTCTTGCCTTTGACTAGGTCCCCTAGTAGTGCCCTTCTCTCCCCTTTTTTGGGGGAGGGTTCCCCTGCTAAAATAGTGCTCTCAAATCTGGAGGACCTAGTTGAGCCTGTGTTGATCTGGAATGATCTGCAAATCAACGAACAGGGGCAATCTTCTGAAACTTTCCTTGCAAAGCCAAATTGCTCCGCGATCTTGGCCTCAAGAGCCGCCTCATTATTTTACCATGATCAAAAGTCACCCCCTAAGTGGTGGGTTAAAGGGAAACAACCACATTTTCTGACTTTCATCACCCCCAGAAACACCCACAAAACTTTGATAACCCCAGCAAAACACACAATGCATTGGCATTGTGTTGTAGTTGTGATTCCTAGAAAAGGTTCATGACAATCCGCACCCTCACCACATCGAGAAAATGTCCTGCAGGAAAAATGGGCCTTGGGACACATTCTCGTGGGTAGGATATGGATGTGTGCAAATAGAAAGGGCAAGTGCAAACTGTTCATGTGTGATTAAAATGGCCCCAAAAGTGACTAAAGCCCAGGAAGACAGGCAGTGAGTTGAATGGATGTTCTCCTTAAACTCTTTCACAAGGATACCCTGGGACACCCCTTTGAGCATCCGGCCTGAATCCTGCCTGCTGGGCAACTGCCCAGTGGCACCTAACCGCATAGCTCCCTTCCAATTTCAGCGCAGCAAGACACTTGGCCAGGTTTGCGAGTGCATGGTTGGTATCCTAGGCAACCTATGACTTGGACTTATGGGCAGGTTATCATCGAACGGTTGCAACGAACGTCCAAGAAGCTAGGGCCTTCCTGGGTCCTTTCCAAAGAGCGGGGGGGTGGGGTGGAGGAAGTTGGAAGTTGGAGTCGGCCCCAGGCGGACTCTGACGCACCCACCGAGAGCGAGTATGAGACCGATGAGGAGGCTAGGAGATGCATCTCCATGCATTCTGGCAAGCCAGGGACCAGGGAATAGCTCATGTGGAGTCTTCAGAGCTCTTCAAAAATGGGGTACACCCAAAATGGGGTACACCCAATTGCACCCAAAATGTTCCAGTCATGACCCCATTGTTTATGGGCGAGTCTTCAGATTGGACATGGTTCGTCCAACCAAATTCGGATGATGTCAGCCAAGGGGTGCGGGACCACTCCACCTAGGTCCCATGTTCGCAACTTGCATCAAGTCGCTCACTTTTAGGGAGCGAGCAGTCCCAAATTTGACGGGGGCAATTTGACATCAGATGCGGAATGGGACATAATTTTCATGTCGCTTTGCAACCCATCAAATCTTTTGCAATTCCCATATCAATTGATTCTATGAATCCCAACAGGGGCCAGTAGCGACCAATCAGGTTGTTGTGGTATTTGTTGGATTCCCTTTCTGACGGGGTAGCTCTTTTTGAACCTCTGACATTCATTTGAATGGCTGGGTCAAGTTGTTTTGTTCGGGCCGTCAAACTGGCTTCGGCTTTCCACTTAGTCTTTTTTTAGAGTTATAGAGTAATGGGGAGTTAATGTAAAAGAAGAGACACCCGAACTTGGTGGCTCCATTTAACTCACTAAAAGTTAGTCACTTTTGCGGGGGATTTGAAAACGGGCAGCCCAGCGAAGTGACGTTTCTTCACAACAGCGGCAAAATCCTCACAATTTCCGCGAGGAGCCCAAGCCTGGTAGTCGGCCGCGGGTCGTGTCCGCCGGTCTTGCGAAGGCAGGAACTGTTGTTGGCCGTGTGTATGTGTGGGTCTGTGTGTCTGTGTGTCTGTGTGTCTGTGTGTCTGTGTGTCTGTGTGTTGTGTTGTGTTGTGTTGTGTTGTGTTGTGTTGTGTTGTGTTTGGAGATGTTGTAGTTTGTTGTTTCCTTTTTTTTGTGGGGGGGGGGGGGGTAAGTGATGATCATGTTGCTAGCGGGGGTGCAAAAAGCAGTCAGTTTGTTGCTACCATAATGTAGAGGTCTTGAATTCCAGCTGTGTGTGTCGTTTCTGTGTGAAGGGACCTGGAGCCAAGCAGGTATAGAGATACCGGTGTGTCTCTCCTTTTTCCCCAGCTGGACGCTATGGATTTGGTCGATAGGCTTAGAAAGGTGGTTTGGGGCAGGAGGGTTCCAGGAATTTCCAGGCTGTTGGGGATACCTGGGCTGATTTGCAATTTCGTGTCCTTTGAAGCCATCAAAAAGGGGTACCTTCAACAAAGACACACCCATACCAATCTTCAGAAGTATCCATGAAATCTAGCCAATGCGAAGAGGACAACAGGCCCTTTTTGACAGGAACAAGTATGGGTGGAGAACAAAAAACACACGTGCACCAGTTGGGATGGATGAAACTCTAATGAGATAACCCACCAACTGCTGCGAAATGGATGTCGTCCATCCACCGCATCCTTGATCTTGGACCCTGCAAAAGCAAGTAATTCCTGCCATGTTCAACTTGAACTTCAAGGGCCCCGGTTTTTTGGACTTGGTCACTGTTTACCTGCTGATCTAGGGTACCTTCCATGTCCATTCTGAACCCAGGGATCCGAATCTTTCTAGACCACCCAAAACCACGGCGAAAAAGGCGATCGGTTTTTGAAAAGAACGATGGCTGAAAGGAATGGAAAAGGAATCAACCCCTAGCATGTGAGACCAACCTGTGGCGGGCCAAAAGGCCGGCTGTTTCGGTCAGCTCTCAAGCTGTAAATTTGGGCATGTCTTAAGAAACCAACCAACCAATCATAACCAATGAACGAAGGAATCGACCCCTTGGAACTGAGCTCCTTGCCTCGACCGAAGTTTCAGGCAGCTCCAGCCCCGAAGCCAGAAGCCGGCGTGCCTCCAGGCAACCTCTCTCGTCGATTCGGGCGGGAAACGACCCGCTTTTGCCACCGGGGAAACCAAGCGCTTTCACTGCCAGAGGCGTTTTTCCCTCGTGGTTGTTGCCCCTCTCGAGGGGTTCCTCCGCTTCCAGTTTCGGAAATGGGTTTGTTTTCCTCTCTGTTTTTTGCGGAACAACTCTCCTGTTGGTGTTCAAGGGAATCCGTGACTATTCGACATAGTGTCCCATCTTTTCCAGGAGGCGTTGAACGCAGACTCCATTTCAATTTCCTCTGAGCAAAAAAACAGACGACCCTCCCGGCTTCAACTGATCTGGCAGGGTGGTTCGGGTGAAAGACATCGCCATGTCGAGTGGGGTTAGGGTCAGGCAGAGCTCAGACGTTTGGAGGAGCAACATGCCAACGTCCGTCGCCCAGTGAACATCCCAATCTCCCCAAAAAATAGACTAAAATGGGTGGTGCACCTACCCCAAAATGATTGGTTTTGGCCCACAGCCATTTAACCACATTCCCTACATGTCGCACCAGCAAGAGTCGTTTCGACCAAAATCGCCAGGACTCGGACTTGGAGTTTGTGCTTGTTGTCAGAGGAAGAATGCTTTCCTAAAAGGACTGCACTTTGCATCCAGCTCAGACATAGGCTTGAGTGTGGCCGCTCTTGAGATATTAGGGTTTTGTTTGAACTTGAGGTGTGTGCTGATGGAGTATCAGCCCATTGCTGAAGCATCCGTTGACCAGATGAGTGTCCCGCTGGCAGCGCGCCACCAACCCACCACTCATTTGTCACTAAGTGCCACTTTTCTGCCACTCATTTGCCACTCATTTGCCACTCTACAAAACTGTCTCATATTTGGTGCAAAATTGTCAGCTACTAGCCACTTAGTTTGCCAGCTGCGTTTCCACTCTCGCCTCTAATCTTCTCGTTCCGCCGGCTTATATCTCTTATTTTCCGCTGGTAAAGGGAATATACGGGACATCCAACCAATGTAAACCACCAAACTCGGGGGAAGCTGAAGGCCACAAATCAGATGGCCATGGGTGTGGTGTTTGTTTGAGGTACCCCTTTTTAGGGCTGGGCTACAATAAAAGGAAAATATAGGGAAACCAAAGGAAACACCTGGGAATCTAAACCACTGGACATGTTCCACTGGACATAACATTTTGGTTTTCCACTGGGCCTCCCAAACCAAACCAAAGAAAAAACCTGGAACCCTTGTATTTGCTGAAGCATGTTCCTTTTTTCCCCTTGTCGGTTTTAACAGGAATGCTCTTTAAGACATTGGCTTGTTTCATATTTTCTGGGCCTGCGGCCTCTAGCCGGCTACGCCTCTTTGAAGTTATGCCGTGTCATGTCATGTTTTTTGCATACGATATGGCAGGTTAGGTTATGCATTTGCCCACCCCAACCCCAGATGATGCCGGGGATGCCAGCTTTCTGGGCCCCAGCCGGGCCCCAACCCAGAAGGCTGACATGGGTTCGCGCGCGCGCGCCAGAGGCCCCAGAAACAGCAGCCCAAAAAGAACAGCCCGCAAGCCAGCCCGGAAACGCAAATGCAACAAAACACCGTAAATAGCAGCGTTTCGTGGCTGGGGTCGCGCGCGCGCGCGCGCGCGCCAGAAGGCCCGAAAACCAACGGGAAAAAGCAAGGACAGCGCAGCACGCGAGCCAGCCACAGCAAAAGCAAGAAAGGCAAAACAACAGCCCAACGCTCAGCACAGCAGTTTTGGCGGTATTTATACAGCGTTTTGCAGAGCGAGGACCCAGCATCGCCGGCATGCCCGGCAGCGCTTGGCGCCAAAATGCGCAAAAAATGAGCCTCGCTTATATCTCTCCGTTACCTTCCAAAAAACAGTGCTTCATGAGTTGAGAGGCTTTTTGGAAGGAAGTCTTGATGATGCAGACCAAGCCCCGCTGAAGCATCACCCAGGACCAACCCCAGACTCTGACGATGTCAGCCACATGGCCTAAAACCTGCATATACGCGATGTTTTGCGAGGGTTTCCCACAGGCAAGCAAAACCGCAAGCCCGAGCTGGTGATGCAGAGGTGCCAGATTTAGGCAGCGCATCACGACCAAGTGGCGAGGTCGGCGGCACCCGGGTGCAGCCCCTATAGCTAAAGCTAGCAGGCTAATTGCCTAGCGGCGACATGTTACCCCAGGAAGCGTAGCCGGATTAACCAGGCTCCCGCCTGCTGCCGCCGACCCTCGGCGCATTAAGGGAAAAGTCATATAAACGGGAAACTGTCCGTTAATTGCTGAGACACACCTATAGGAGGGCATTTGGTGGGCGTGCGCTCCAGCTGGCTCGATGCCGAAGAACAAGCTGCGCGTGATGGGGAAGCACAAGACGGTGAAGCACAAGGACCAGAAGAGACGATGTTGAATAACTACACAATGGCAGGGGCCGGAGGGACGCAAGGCTGGGGCTGCCAAATCCCCAACGTTTAGCGGATTTTCCATGCTCTAACATGAGGGTCATGTCCCGCAAATTGCAGCGCGGATTGCGGATTCGGAATATGACCAACCAGAAGAAGGACTAAGCGGATGACGCATTGTGATTTCGCCCCCAGGATTTCGTACTCCAAGAACCTATGAAACATGTGCAAACGAAAAAACCGATTCTGAAGCGGCTGTTTACGAAGAAATGTCGCGCAACACAAAAACAGGTTGTACCTTTAAGGACCCGTGCAAAACCCATATAAAGCCGTACAAAATCCATACCAAACCTGTACGTTTGCATGCTTGTCAAAAAACCGGTCTTCCCCGTGAAGAACTTGGAGCTTCGAGTAGAGGGCTGGACAGCATGGTCGCTGCGGTGGCAGGCGGGCACGCCGGGAAAGATACGCCGTAAGGCTGGCAAGGTGGCAAACCCGAAGGAGGCGCGGCAGCGTGGTCGGGCACGGTCCCTGACGACGAACACGCATAGGCCGGGAAAGAAGACCACGAGAAGGAGGATAAGGACCCCGCGAAGACAGAGGCTACGAGAGTTGGGTTTCCCTGACGTGGTGCCCTTGAGTTTGTACACGTTTTAGGGGGCGAAGCTCCTTGATGCCCAACATAGGCTACGAGAGTCCCCAGTTGAGTCGTGCACAGGCGGGCAATGATGAACGCGAGAAGCACCAGTCAAAGGCGACGAGAGTTGTCGCCCAATGTTTTTTTTGCGGGGGTTAACACGATTTTTCCCTGAGAAGGGGAGGGGAACATCCAAAACCTTGAAAGGACGGTTTTGGCTTTCGCTTGGGGACGGCGTGGCGCGAAGGGAAATAGAAGAGACTGAGCATGTTTGAGTCGGAAATACGGTTTGGAGCGACGAGTTGCAACTGCAATGTCGTCTTTTCGAACTGTTGGTCCCAGAAGTTGGCCCTCTTTTATTTGAACAATTCAGGAATATCTTTTATCGTTGCTGAGTACGTGGACAGGCAGCTGCACCGTTCTGGGCTTCGGCATGGCAGCAGGATAGCGAGATGTGGTACCGGCCATGCCGAGGCGCACGTGCCTGAGGTCCAGCGTAGACTGGCTTGTTCAGAACCTAGTCTCCCACGGTTAGCGGATTGAGGATGCAGCATCACGCGGGTGACGTTTCACGGCTCGTGGGCTGCATGGTTTTTCCACGCGTCAACATGTGGTTTGGACCCACAAGTTGCAGCGCAAGAAGAGAACCGCCCGGGATTTGGGACAGGCTAGGTCGCGCCCGCAGATTGCCCCTTCGGCAAGTTCGTGCACAGCACCGGCGGTTGCGATACCTGCAACAGCGGGGCCAGCGGCTCAGGGCAATCCAAGACATCGCGCCGGAGGCACGTTTCCTCCGAAAGAAAAGTACATTTCCTACCTTCTTCATGTTATCGAATAACACCACCAGCAGCAGCAGCATCATCATCAGCATCATCATCATCATCATCATCATCATCATCATCATCATCATCATCTGGATGTTTATCTTGGTCTTACCCATTTTCGCTTGGGTTCGGCAAGGCGGCCCAGCAGCGCCAATGTGGCAAGCTCACTTGCGTGGGCCTCACACAGGGCGGGTTGTGCGTATCTGGGTGAATCTGTTGTAGTTGGCAAGAGCAGGGTGATGAACTGTCCAGCAGGGCTCACCGGTCGATCAGTTTACTGGTGTTCAAGGAGTTGTTGCCGCTTGAGGAAGCCCTGTGTGGGCACGGCTGCAAATAGGAATTTGCAACCAAAATGAAACCCTGAATGGAAAAGTAGATTGTGAGCCACATCCTTTTTGCCCACCTCATCCATTTGGAGACCCCGCAAGCCACCCCCCAATGACTCGCCGCCAAGCGCGGCTGGGTTTGAAACGTGAAGGTGAGATGTCATGCAGCCACATGACAGCGAGGGGAACCCTAAATTTTATTCAAGGAGACAGGAATCAAGCCCTAAGGCACCTGAACCCTAAACCGTGATGACCCTACAGGAAAACCAACACTCTTCAATGTGATGACCCGAAATCTCGACCCCTAGATTTAAAAAAACCTAAACGGCAAACCGTGTTGACCCGAAATCCTGAAACCTCAGCCAAGGAATGAGACCCCCCAAAGGTGGCTTGCGTGCATGCCCACTGACCCCCCATGACGCAACCCTAAAAGGCTATGTGTTCAAACACGACGCAACCGATTTTCGAAATTGACCCCTTGCCCGCCTGAAGCAGCCCCCTTTTCTGGACAATTAAACGACATGACGCAGAGGGCGAAAATCCCTAGGCGGTCCCTCTCGCTTGCATTATAAAAGGGGGGACGATCAAAAGGGCTTGCTTTTAGTGCTGTTCCGAGCCAGAAGGACGACCAAAGGTAGAAAGCTTTTTCCAGCCAGTTTCTGTGAGAGCCCACGTGCTAATCAGACAACTGAGAAGAGGAGTCCGCTTTAGGAAGCCGCCAAGCAGCTGGGCAAGTTGCGATTGAGTAATTTGGTCGTTTACCGGGCCGAGGTCCTGGAACCTGAGATGGGCAGCTGATCAATGATCAGTCCAGATCTCCATCCATTTTTCCATCCCTGGCC